TGTGTAGACTTACGTCTTGTATATACTATAGTGGTTCATTGTTGTCATGTGCATGTGTAGTGCCTGCAGGGCAGGTTCTTGGGTGGGCCCTGCACTACCAAATGTAGTGCTGGCCCAAACAACAGCTCTCCTGCCCCCCCTTTTCGGAATCAAAATATGTATTGATTTATACTGGAGATGAGCAGGCCTGGGTACGTGTATTGTATTATTTAATAGAATAACAAATTATTTTTTCTGATATAGAGCCCTATACACCGCAGCATAGCAGAACTTTACACCACATCTCAAACGTGTTTTAAAGGGGACCCCCAGTGGCAGCTGTCCCTGTGGGCACGAGGTGACAAAGTAACTGGCTTGCAAAGGGGCATTAGACCTGCCAGTAGGGGACGACAATTACTATGTAAAATCCCAATTGAATTAAACACGTATGCTTTTGCGACCAATATCATCCATAATACGTGTTTTTTTTGGGTTAGATCGCGTAAAATTATAAATGTGTCGTTAAACCCGCCACCACCCGATACGGCTAATTAGTAAGGTTTGTCACGTAAACAGAACGTGCCAATTCGTTACTAGTACAGCCCACCGGTGGGTTGGAGAGCCAAGCCACAATCTTGTGAATCCCAATTGAGTAGTTGTTCACGGATATTTTTTTTTTACTTGGCAAATTAGGACCACGAAGACGACACACTATGGCCTGCTCTTGTGCATAACAGCACGGGATATTTAACGTAATTTTACCACTCATGATACATCCGCAGTATTAACCAGGGCGGCTGCTGGAAATTCGAACCGTGAACCTCTGCAACGAGTGGCGAAGGCGCCACCACGAGGCCACCTCCCCTCCTCCCCCCCCAGAATATCTATGCCGGTGCCATGCAATGCACACGGCATGCAGTGGTGCACAGCAGCGTCATGTGTGCATTGTGCATACTGTAGCAATGTTGCAGTGAAAGCACACGTGTGTGTGCGTGCGTGCGTGCCACGTGGGCACGCGTGTGTGTGTGGCGTCACAGCCGCGTGTGTGTGTGTGTGCGTGCCACGTGGGCACGTGTGTGTGTGTGTGGCGTCACAGCCGCGTGTGTCTCTCTCACCCCGGAGCGAGGGGCGCACACGCGAACCCGGCGGCTCCTGTCCCCCGTGTTCCTCGCCGTCACCACGGCCGAGAGGCGGCGGCCGGGGGTGGCGTCCGCGAACTCCACCACGCGAGGTGACACCAGCAGCACCGACTCAGCCATTGGGCTCTCCCAGAGCCCTAGGCCGCCTCCTTCCTTACGATTCACGGGGTTCCTTTAGGCGCCGAGCGCTCCCAGGTCGATGTCCAGGTTAGCCCCAAGTTCAGAGGACCTCAGGTCCAGATCTTGTGTGTCCCACCTCGTTGAGTGTCGGCCGATTGCCCCCTTGGTCTCGTTTCACTGATAGTTCGCTGAACAGGTGACCGATCCCACAGGGTTTTACACATACAGGCTCTTCATGTAACCCATTCCCCTTGTCTTCTGAAATCCCTTGTGTGCCTCGTCTCCTCTTCAGCAGAAGAGGTATTTTATGAGTTTCCTTGATCCCAATGTCAAATCCTTTGTCTCCAAGCTCCGCTGCCTCTTTGGTTCCCCCCCAAGTCCCTCGCCTACCAACCACCCAGATCTCGCTGTCACTCGGTCCCAGTTCCAAATAGAGGTCCCACTCTCTCAGTCTCCTTGTCCCTCTGTCTTCCGATGTGTCCTCATCTCATTTTCTTTATCTCAGTCTCCTTGTAACTCTGTATCTCTCTCCTTGTCACTGCGTCTCTATCCCCCTGACTCTCGCCTCTTCACTCTCCAAGGCTATGTGTTTCTGTCTCCTGGTAACTCTGTCTCCTTGTCTCCCCGACTCTCTGTCTGCTCGTCCCTGTGTCTCCTCGTCTCCCCGTCTCTATCCCTCTCGGTCTCCTTTGTCTGTCTCCTTGTCTCTGAGTCTCTACCCCTCTATCTCCTTGTCTCTGTGTCTCCACCCCTCTGTTTCGTTGTCCCTGTGTTTCTGTCTCCTTGTCCCTGTGTCTCTACCCCCCTGTCTCACCTATTGCTGCCGCTGTGTCTCTATCTCTTTGTCCCTGTGTCTCCACCCCTCTGTCTCGTTGTCCCTGTGCCTCCACCCCCTGTCTCTGTCCCTGTGCCTCCACCCCCTGTCTCTGTCTCCTGGTCCCTGTGTCTCCACCTCTCTGTCTCCTGGCCCCTGTGTCTTCACCCCTCTGTCTCCTGGTCCCTCTGTCTCTGTCCCTGTGTCTCCACCCCCTGTCTCTGTCCCTGTGTCTCCACCCCCTGTCTCTGTCTCCTGGTCCCTGTGTCTTCACCCCTCTGTCTCTGTCCCTGTGTCTCCACCCCCTGTCTCTGTCTCTGTCCCTGTGTCTCCACCCCCTGTCTCTGTCCCTGTGTCTCCACCCCCTGTCTCTGTCTCCTGGTCCCTGTGTCTCCACCCCCTGTCTTTGTCCCTGTGTCTCCACCCCCTGTCTCTGTCTCTGTCCCTGTGTCTCCACCCCTCTGTCTCCTGGTCCCTCTGTCTCCACCCCTCTGTCTCTGTCCCTGTGTCTCCACTCCCTGTCTCCTGGTCCCTGTGTCTCCACCCCCTGTCTCTGTCTCCTGGTCCCTGTGTCTTCACCCCCTGTCTCGTTGTCCCTGTGTCTTCACCCCCTGTCTCGTTGTCCCTGTGTCTTCACCCCCTGTCTCTGTCCCTGTCTTCACCCCCTGTCTCGTTGTCCCTGTGTCTCCACCCCTCTGTCTCTCTGCGTCTCTGCTGCTGCTGTCGCTGAGTGCGCGTCCCGTTGCTAGGCAACCGAGAGTAAACAACAGCTGATCCTCGCGCGGCGCTCGGCTCCGCGTTCGCCGCCGCGCGATTCGCCGCCACGTGCTCGCTGCGCACCGAATTCATTCTGAATATTTACTCGTGATTGGAGGAACCCGATGAGCTGTAAAGCTCTTTTCCACAGATGTGTCCAGTAAGGGGGGGGGGGGGGCAGGTCATAACGTCACAACAACATATAGTCACGCAAAAAACACGGCAGAAGTGCAAATTATGGGCAAGGTAATCAAATCACTTAAAAATATGGGGCCGTCCATAAATGATGTCACGCGATTTTGGACGATTTTTTACCCCCCCCCCCCCGTCACACGGCGTCACAAAAAGTCAGACCCCTCCTCAAATATGACGTCACAAAGCTCTGCCCCCCCCCCCCCCAAAACCATATTTCCATTTTGAAAATAAAACATGCTTCAAATCGCTTTAAACTATTGTCATTGTAGTGCGTATTTAATGTGGCGCTGCGCTCTGATGTTGTAGGAGAGAACATTTATTAAAAAGTCTATTTAATTAAGTAGAACGTGTTGTCTATATTTATTTAAAGTTGCGCATTTTGATGTGACGTCACATTTCTCACCCCCCCTCGTCATACATCGTCACAAATGTCTGACCCCCCCCCCCCAGGTGCGTGACGTCATTTATGGACGGTCCCTATATACAAATACAACATTTTGTTTTAAATCTTACTAAGACCCACTTGAATCTTACTAAGACCCACTGAACCATGAGATTATTTTTCAGAAGCGACGTGACCACAAATTATAGCTCACCGACAGTTAATTACCGGTAACCACATAAAAACCGGTGTAAAAAAACGGTTAACGGTTCTCCGTACACATAGATAGGTATCCGTTAATAAACGTAGAGGTTTTACCTTTTTTTAAAAAAAGTGTTAACTGAGAAGCGAAGGGAGCTGTCGTGGCATAATAGTTACCTCGCTGGACTTGTACTAATCCAGAGGGCACCGGGTTCGACTCCACCGCCCGGTTCGCCAGTTATAACAATTAATGTTTTATTTCCCAAAAGTCGGCGCATTCATGGATAATATTCAACTGGACGCGGTTACTGCTTTCCAACCCGTATCGTTTAACAGCACTCCTCCTCACACCCCATAGCTGTCAACCCCTCATCAGTGCCTCCCTTATTAGATAGACCAACTCAGACCCTATTGATCACCTCATGTCCTTATAATTCTCAAAGTTAATCCTGCAAAGTCCCATCACAAGGGAGAAACACAAATATTATTATTTTTGTCCGTATTGAAACGGCTGTACGCCGTATGAACCTGAAAACTCAATTTCCCTGTACAAGAATACGGGTAAACCGTATGGGTTGACAGGTATTCACCCCATTATTTACGTACACAGCTTTCAAGGATTGAGTGATGAATGACACGGTAGTCACGGGCTTGGCTGATGTTTTATCAGTGAAGAACGAGGCACGAGGGTTATCATAAAAGACTCACCCAGACCACTTCTGTCCTCTAAGTGGCCATGAAGCCAAATCAATACAAAATTTAGTTGGTCGTTAACTCTGCCGTGGAACCGAAACATCCAACAGGCTGACGTTTCAACCCTTCTGCACTGAATGCATAATAATGCGGCTCAGGCCTCAAATCCTGGCCAGAGGAAGACTCAGCCCATCCAACTTTCCAAGGTTGATACAAATTTTGTTTCAAAAATTGGGAAGTCATTGACTTTGGGCCCAGCCATAACAAAGGATGCACATCAGTAGCTCAGGACTGCCAACTTAGGGTTTGCCAACCGTACAAATTTAGTATGGACAGGACACATTTTAGATATATCAACTTAGCACTACTAAGCAAACATGCAAAGTTAGGCCAACTTTGGCATATACTGTATTTGGAATCGTTGGACCAGCATTGGCCCGTTTCATGTTTACTGGGTCTTCCCCAGCGTATGTAACTCAGAAGTACAACACTTTTGCACATTAACCTTTGTCCAAAGTTTGTTAGATTCAAAGTCTGCACAGAAATAAGCACTGTCCAGTGCTACTGCAATGCCAGGATACGAGCTGGCGCCGTCTGGTTTGCAGTGTTTAACATTACAGCATGACAGCATCCGAAAGTGAGAGATAATGGATTTACATATACCTATGCAATACACATAACTTATCACACAAACGCTACAATCAACCACTCACTTCCAGGATTACCGAGATAAGTTGCATCGTTTAATGGGCACAGAACAATTTCGGCAAACAATGACCTTATATATATTTTCAACAAACACCGTACTGTAAAAATTATGTATTGTATTAAATGCTTGACAGCTCGTCATATTAAACTTGGCGTAAAAATCAAGGTTTACATTACACAGATGTTTTTTGTTTCTTCGTACAAAATGTGAATGAGGCCAACATTGCCTGGATTTTACGTAAATTGAAAGCACCGCTCAAAATTGTCTTGCTGTTCATTAGCAATTGGATAGCAAATAAAGCACAAGGAATTTGTTTTTAACTATACAATTAAGCAGAATTTTCCGCAATGCTCATTACACTCCACAATTACCAAAACTACCATCTTGCTAAAGTTACTGCAGTGATGTATTTTTTTTTTACAAACATTGGTTATTTAAATACATGGGCTATACACATAGGCAACAGGGATCCATTTACTGTTATAGTATGAGAAAGAAACATTATTTACACCAAATGAATTCTCATGAGTGGTCACAATGTGTTGAATCTGCTTGGTCTGAAAAAAATCCCCCTTAAATGTGATCATTTAAATGCATTTCAAAACTTCAAAAATACATTGGCCCCAAGTCTTAGCAAGATCACACAACGTACCATTTAGAATGTGGCTCAAATTTAAATTCAACATAAAAAATAGGCCATGTTTCAGGCCACTTTTGTGAATTGCTTAAATTAGATTTTTTTTGACAGCACCAGTTTTAATCGTGACTTATTTTATCCGGATTAAATGTTCAGTGGGCAATACAGTCTAACACCATATTTGATAAAATACTGAGATAGCTAAGTGGGAGACCAAACATTTTATAAAATATATTTCTTGTTCGCTATTATCTGTGTCATTGTGAAAGTGCTCAACTCGCCATGAAACTGTTGAGTTCAAATCCAAGTTTTCAATTGACTGAGCAACTGTTACGGCCAGGGTCGACAAATGAAGTACCACTTTGTAACAAATCGTTCATGGCCATCCTACCATAGGAATGGAGAACATCCGCCACTGGCCTAAGGAACATCATTGTAGAACAACGTCCCAAGCTCACCAAACAGAGGCACTTTATACAGGACCAAAATATACACAACTAATACACAAGACGTATATTGCATTGCTGTGGGATTTTGAGACACTTCACTCTGTTATCTGTGTACAATAACACTGAATATACATCTTCCTTACTGTGCCTATATTAATATTGAAAACACTTGGGTCTCTCGAAGCTTAGTGTCAGATTACAAAAGCGAATTCTTGTGTGAAAATTGTGTTGTCCACGCAGGTTATGTGGCCCATCTATGCCACAAACCCACAATTACTTAATTCCTTAGACCTGGGACCCATAAGTACAAACGTCAACCTGTGCTCTGATATATGTGACATGGGCCATAAATGTATTTAATTCTAGCATGTCACCTGAATAAACTAAAAATGTATTTTTAATTGCACAGATGATAGTGTCCGTTTGCTTTTCCAAGTCCCATGCAAGATAGGCAATTGTAGAAGTTGAAGGTGTGGTTGCATTTATACACCAATTCCCAATGGCATTGGATAATTGTTACATTTGCAATTTCTGACATGAAAGTTTGGAAAACTGCTATCCTCGAAACTCGACTTAACGATAAGGAAAGTAAATTACAAATAGAGTATTTTATGGAGCTGGGGTGGGAATGGTGGTGGAGAGGTTAGCGCATGGCTTCTTGAACCAGGCTATCCAAGTTCGATTCCCAGCCATGGTTAACATTGGCGAGTGTTATCTGAATCAATCCTAAATCATCCCTCAAAATCCATTCAACCAACCTGCATTGACCAGCTTGGTGAGACATGGTCAAACAACCCCCTGATTAATAGGACAATAGCCTTCCTCAGGTGAAGAAACAGGACTGTCCAGAAGACAGCGCTGTCTTCCAGGCAGTCCTGTTTCTTCATCTGAGGAAGGCTACTTGTGTTGTGGCCGAAACGTCGTGAGAATTTTATTGTTATTATTTTTATTATTTTATCCCAATTCTACGTAACTGTACCGAAATAACCCAGAAAATATATATTATACTTAGCAATTGTATAAATATTTTTTTAATTAAGGCATAATCACATGCTTAAATTATGAGAGCTTTATTGCAGAAAATATAACTTTACCATAGCTGCTATTATTTATTAAATAGGTTTTACTGTTGATAACTGTGTGATATTAGGTGGCTGGAAAGCTAAGCGGTCAATGTAGAACACATGAGCCAGTCTGCATGACACTAACGGTTTGATTCAAGTAGGCACCCAGGTCTCCCTCACAAAAAACATATTTAATGAAGCTTCAAGGGCTCAGAGATAATTAACTAAAGAACAATGAATTGAGTGTTCAGCTGTCGCTAACACACCCACAGTGCTGTTAGACCGGTAATAACAGCCAGCTCGTTAAGACCCGGGATATAGACAGCAAAGCCCATTAAGATTCAGATCGTCGTAGATGTGGTTCAAGCTGCAACACGATTGTGGCCACGTAAAATAAAAGGACAAACGAAACAGAAAATAGTAAAACTGCTTAGCTGCTCGGACACAGCAATGTCCATTAGTTTTGTCACTGCTATGAACTCGATGGTACATTAGAAGATGATTGCCCATGGAGTACAGAGTTGGCTGGGTACCTGCCCCCTAAAGGCAAGCCGGTGGTGCCAGGCATTGGGCCAAACGGCCTGGAGGAGTTCCCAAAGGCCCTGTAGAGGCCTGTGGAGTCTGGGTAGTGTGCAGTGGGAGGGGCGTAGGCCCGAGTGCCGGGCCGCGTGACGGCCGGGGGCGGTACGATGGGCTGCACGCTGCGCCCGGGTGTGCCGAAGGAGAACTCTGGCGCCGGGCTGGTGGACTTGGACGGGGTGGAGGTGAGGGGGTTGTGGGAGCCGTGATGGTGGTGGCCATGAGGCTGGTGAGGGGTATGGGTCAGGGGCGGCACGACATTGTGCAGGACGCTTGGGGCCAGGGAGGTTGTGGACACACTTGCCCTGCTCCAGTCATCTGTGCCCACAGACCGATCCAAACAACACTTGTTACGCAATTGTATTTCGTTATGGTAAACATTGCCGTACAAATTATATCATTAATGAAGTACGATAGATCATTACAAATGTATGAGTCACCCTTCCAGCAATACATCTTATACATTAAATGTTTTTTATTTATTTCGATCGCCTGACAGAGAACTTGCCTTTGAAAATCTGTACAGTAAGATGTGAGACGAGAGTGGAGAGCCTGCTGGTCACGTGGGCCAGCACCAGCTGTTCATTGGCATCGCGTCGCACACGCACGTGCATTGATCCAGCCTTGGAAACAAAACGGACAGTTCCACATGAACAGTGTCCTTCAGGACGTATTACAAGCAACACTGCTTTTGAGCGGTGTTCAGGACGTAGTATATCGTCACTATTCCATAGCGCTTGTTATTGATAATTTATGACACAAAGAGAACGTGCACTTTTTTATAATAACGTGCAGTCCATGATAAATGTTCACACCTCCGATTAGCACGGTTGGCTCCGTATGGTGCGAAAGAAGTTCAACATACATACAAATATGATTATACCACGATGAAGGCATTCCCAAGTCAACTCACCTGACACGGAACCAAGGTGACACAATCTATTTCGCTCCCACACATGAAGTTTCATCACTCCATCTCCATGGTGGTTATCCGCCAGGCAAGATCCCTCCCCTGACTGCAACTCTGTTACCAGTATCGTCCGTCGGCCATCAACCCTCCTACAGGATTGTGTTCTGTCCAATCCCACTTATTTTTCTGATTTGCACTTATTCTCAGATCCTCGCGTTTAATTTTTTTTATTGTAATTTTAAGCACCTACGATCAAATCAACCAGAATGCACCCCCCCCCATCTCATGCAGGGGCAGAGCCACAGGGGGGGGCTGGGGGGGCTCAGCCCCCCCTGAAATGATGGGAAAGTCGGTAATCGGGATAACCGCATATCCGGCTGCTGCAAAATGCTGGCTGCCACCTTGTGCTGCCCTGCAGGCTGCTTGAGCGGCAGACTTTCAAACTTATCGAACTTATTAGCCACATCAGCGGCTCCGACCTATTAATAAACTCCGCGTTCAGAGCCAATAAAATTTGTTTTATACATTTGTGGCGCCCATTGGAAAACATTACACTGGATATCTCAGAATATTGAAGTCAGCTCCCCCAAAGTCAAAATCCTGGCTCCGCCCCTGATCTCATGGGATCCCAGATGCTATGCATAGGATTGAGTCTGGCTCGTGCATGGGTAGGGTGATGACCAGGTGCTAAAGGAAGGTTCAAGAGGCGTTGTGGACACGAGAGGGCAGTGCAGCACACTCTAGTGCTGTTCTGCACTCCCTCCCCCAATTTCACCAAACCACACTGACCACCGTGAAGTATGGTCAAATTTCTCCCAGCCAGCAAGGTGTGGGGGAGGCCCCTCACCCAGCAGTGGATTGACACAGGGGCTGTACACGTACGTATGTAATTGTAGGCATAAACCTCTCCCTGTACATGTAACTTGAGCGGTGGACAGTAAGAACGTACGCGACCGCACAACACAATTATCACGGTTCTACGTTGTACTCAACAAAGGTAAAACTAATACATGCGCTCACCAGGGAGCCAAATGACACCGTCCAGAAGTGCTCGTTGCGGAACTCCAGCACTCCATCAAGGGTCGAAGCCTGGCGCATATAAAGCACATGATGCCGAGTGGCACGCAAAACATAAACCAAGCAGTCACACGAGTGGAAGGTACACAGAAGGATTTGGTATGCACATCGCCGCTGCAGAATAGCACGGGGACAGTTAACTCATAAGCTGTACTCGCCTGAAAGACAGTCCTTCAGTTAAGAGACCCTTGGATGTATGTACAGCTCAGAATACAAAAAATGATGAGCACCGTCCCCTAAGATTAGAGCGTAATGAGCTGGATGGGAGTTGGCCACACTTCACCATACTGGTCAGTGGAGGTTAGTAAAGGTTGGGGTGGGAGGAGGGAGGACCGGTTCAGATATCACTCGCCACTGATGTTAGCCATGACTGGAATCAAGCTCAGGTAAGCAGGTTCATAACACAGTGTGCTAATCACTGTGCCACCGCTCTACCCACGTATTTGACAATTAAGGCAAAGATATTCATACTTATAATGTATTTGTAGGCAACTTTTTCATACTCTATTATAGGCAATGGCATGAGGACATTGAACACACCCCAGTGAATGCTGTCAAAATATGTTTCACGGTAAACAGAAGCTATGACTGGGCGGCTGGGAAAGTGAAAACTATTGAATCAATATAAACTGGCAGAGTCGTGAGAAAAACCCACCTCTGGGCTGTCAACCTTGTGTGTACTTTGTAAACATTTCACACGAAGTGATTACTGGGTTGCCAAATACAAACCAACACTAAACTATACTGCCAGTAGTTTTGTTGGTGGCTCAATTACAGACTGGTTTCCTGTTGTACACACACAGCATTGACATGGGAAGATAACCAATTCCTATGACCGTTGCTAAGCATTCCAAATGTGAAAACCTACATGAAACTTTTTTTTGGGGAACTAATAGTTAATTTTCGATTGAAAGCTTTCGTGACTGCAAGGATTCATCTTCTTTGGTTCTTTCAGTAAAGTCACGTAGAATGAGAATAAAATAATAAATTGATAAAATAAAATAACACAATAATATTCTCACGACGTTTCGGCCACAACACAAGCGGCCTTCATCAGGTGAAGGGACGAGACTGTCTGGAGGACAGCGCTGGAGTGAAAATTTATTATTTTATTCTCATTCTACGTGACTTTACCGAAAGAACCAAAGAAGATAATAGTTAATTGCTTGTAGTTTGCCAAGTCTTGCCTGCCAACATGAATAATTTATATTTTATTTGTTAAATTAAGGACAGTGAACGGAATTAATTGTGCTTCATTAATGGCAAGGACATCTGGCTCAAAACCAAAAATACCTCGTGCAACTGGCAAGACCTAATCCAAACAGAAATCAATCAAATGGCTTTGACACAGTGATCTGGGTGCTCTGCAACAATGCACTCTTCACCTCCCGCAGAAGTTTGTCCAACTGTCCTATGACGTGGGACGGTGTCGTCTGGAAAGCAAAGCAAGGAGAATTATGTTTTCATCGTGTGAGACGCATCACCCAAGAATGATGTTTGCTCATCGCAAACGATGGTAAAGCTACAGGCTGACAGAGCACGAAGGTGTGGCCAAGTGGCTTTTCTGTGAGGTTGACAGCATGTACCTGGAGGAGCACCTTCCCACTGTAGAGGCTCATGGGGTACATGGTACCAAATGTCATCATCGCGATGACCACGGCAGACATGGTGTCCACGGCATAATAGTTACTAAAGAAGAGCAGAAAACCAGAGATTGGCTTAATGACCTTGTGTTACAGCTTGTGTGTGCAAGGAAATAAAGAGGTTAGTAGACCTATGGACTCAATCCACATCTTCCCGCTTATTTCACTCTACGCTCCTTCGTGTGCTTTTAACTATAGGAACACAATCTTGAAATCTTGCACTTAATGGGAGGACCCTTCTATCTCTGTTGGGTATTCATCCTGGGAACACAGTGGCTTCCTCACATGAATAAAATCACAGAATTCTTAACGGTCACTTTGCACAAGGCAAATTGTGTTTGTAATTCCATGCAGAAATGAATGGTCTTGCGTAGGAATCTAAATATTAATAAAAGTTGGTTCAGTAGCAATTGTGACAGCCTGTGGTTTATCCAGCCAACTTAATCCCCGCAAGCTGACATTCTGCCTATGAACAAATCACCCAGAATCTCATACAAATCCCCGTAGCTAAGCAGGTTGAGCTGCCTGGCTAGTGCTTGGATAGGCAAACACCATGCATAAAACAGGTGATGCAGGCTGCTGCGTAGCCTACACTGTCGGCAGCAGAGGACAGGATAGATAGATAGTAGGCAGCAAGAACAATTCCGCTCTCCACGTTCACCAACCCACATTAACCAGCATGCTGACATAGACTCAAATAACCCCCACGACCCACAAAGGTGTGGGAGGAGGCACCCATCCAGCAGTGGATCGACAAAACAGCCGTTACATGCAGTTGTGGATGACCCGATTAGACGAGTAACAACGGTGAGGCATGTAGCAGAGGCTTGCGGCATCGTACGTACTTGATTTCGATGAGCATGTAGGTGATGGAGAGGGCCAGGGAGCCCGCCAGGTCGATAAGGACAAATGGGTTCATGCGTGGCAGCAGAAAGCTGCTGAGGCCAGGCACCACGCCGCATAGGCTGCACACAGCGACACAAGCCTCCGTTGTTGCATCTCTACACACAGCAATACAATCACGCCTCCAGCCTTCATGAGAACAGTTTTTTTTTTTTTTATCAGATAGATTTATCATTATCCAGTAATCTAGGTGATGTATTGATTCATTAATTCATTAAAATACATCATTGTATCAGAAATATCATTATTCAGAAAACTAGGCATTTAATGATTATTTAATTCGTTCTTTGGAATCAATTATGTTTACGATAGATGCATAAAACTGTATGTAAGAGTTGTTTATTTACCACCTATGCATATGCTATACAAATTTTACATTTTGGTTAATGGAACTAATGAGACAGAATATATGACACGTAAGATACAACCAGATGGTACAAACGACACAGGAAACAACCGATAATTCACCTGAATTGTGATCCTACATTGTAAAATGCCATTAAGTCACATAGGGAGGAGGGCAAGAGAGGGGTTAATTTTGTATGTGCCTTCATAACACGACGTCATCCTGTGACCTCCAAACAAATACCCTGCTTAACTTCGAAGGACAATTTTTATATTAACATGAGGGCTTAATAATTGTGTTTAACCACATATGCCTATAAAGTTTAAACAAAATACACTGCACAATAGCATGTGCAACAACTGCACAGGATTTGCATAAATTAGACAAGTGTTGATTACATGCATGTGAAAATTAAAACCAAATAATTCATGAATGCCTAATGATGGTTGTTCATCTTGTCAATTTACTTATGCACAATGTCCAGTTCTAATTAAAATTAATTACAATGAGTGTTGTACAGTATTATATGCGTTTGCCTTGCTTCAACATTATTATGCATACACCGAAGTTAATGGAATAATGGAACCTGTGATGATCTGATGTGAGTATCACCGTGATCTTAAGTTAGAGCTTTGAGCTCCCAAAGGAGGTCAAATTGGTTCATATGTGGACAGAATTGTATGCTTTGTGACTACAGCAAAGACAAATAAGTGTGAAGTTATTGTGATAAAGTCCACCTCCTATAGGCGTATGTATGCTGAACTTCTTTTGCACCGTACGTAGCCAACCGTGATAATCGGAGGTGCGGGAGAAGAACAAACGTAACACAAAAAGCAGTTCTAAATTAATGAGTTTGTTAATCTAGACGATTTAAAGGTGCATAGCTCCAGTGGCTTCCGAATATTGGAAGGAAGAGCGTTCCAGATGGCCGCAGAAGCGCACTCAAAAACACGCAATGCAGTGATCGTTTTTGTTCGATGGCTCGCCAAAAGCTGCTGAGATGACCGGAGTTTGCGTGATGGTTTATGCTCCGTGACTATGCCATCGCGAGGTAGGGTACTAAAACTCAAAAGGGACCGGCCACCTCACCTCCTGCTGAGGTCAGCGACATGCTCTTGTAGCCAACTCGTCGACGCAGCTGAAAAAGAAAATAACGCAAACAAAACATTTGTCCTACCCCAATACAAAGTGTATATTTTGTATCAATCATGTAGGTGCTTTATATTCCATGTTTACATCCATCGCAATGCAATTCTGCTGGCAATGAGGCACAATGTGACCACAAAATGGCAGCATAGCGTGGTGTCCAGAATTATGCCAGTACAAAAAAATTGATAATTTAATCTACCTGAGCAGAGCTTTAAGTCGGCACTGCCTCGTATACATGGGTTTTCTCTGCATACTGCAGTCCCCTCCCACATGCCAGCAATGAGAAAACTGTACCCTCAGAGACGTGTGTGAAGGGCTTGTTGGGGACCACCAGCATGGTCAGGAGGTGGAAGAACAAGGCGACCAGGGTCCCCAGGAGAAGTCTTCCCCTACCATGAACAAGAGCACAGTGCAGAGTAACAGAGTACATCAGTAGAAGCTCCTCCTGTGCTTGTATGTATGCTGAACTTCTTTCGTACCGTACGTAGCCAACCGTGCTAATCGGGAGGTGCAGTTGTGCTGTACAACCGAATACTTGGTTACAGAAGAAACTCCCAGAACATGGAGCAAAACTTCAAACATCAACCAAAAAATACATCTTAGAGCTTAAAAAAGCCCTTTATTAACCGCATGCCAGTCCGTCAAGATTCAGCCTATCTTACTCAACAGAGGCCTGGCTTTATATAATTCAGTTTAAAAAAAACATGAACTTTTGGACATTTGGACATGGGTAAATTTCAAATTTTAAACTTGTCACACAATGGTCTACTCTTGCAAATTATGTCAGACCCATTTGACGCAAATACACAATCTGGTTATTCCCTGCATACATTTTATGGGTGGTGGCATGGGTCAAACTGTCAACTCTATATACGTACATATTTAATATTTATTATCCAAGAGGAATAGGCATTTTAAATGGCTTGTACACGCACACATAATTTTTTTAAAAAAATTCATCATTGATTCAAGGGCACTTTTTGCCATTGTGGAAATTGCAGTGCCGAAAGTGGTTGCAGGGGTCACATGAAGCAATTACAAAGAACATAAAACAAATCATAAGAAAAACATTTTTATTTCAATCCTAGGCTATTACTTCGTACTTTGTGCACCAAGCTATACAATCCTACAACCTGAATTAGATTCTTGGCCAAAGATAACATCATTTGCAAGATATAAAACATGCAATACAAATATTGTTGTACTCAGGATTTTAAGGGCAACAAATGTAAACCCTTACACGATGTCATGCATAAATACATTCAGTAATTTAAAATAAAAGAGGCAGTTATATTAAAAGCCATTTCCAAAAATAATAATAAACTTACGTGTGAACCTCAGGGGGCTCAAGCAAGCGCTCCAAACTGAAAGTGGAATTAGACAAGGTAATACGTTAAAACAAAACCGAATAAATATTACATAAAAATGCAACGTTATGCGACTCACAGTTGTAACCAGTGAATAATCACGCATCAATTAATCAAGCTCATTGATTGTTGATCTTAACTAAATCGATTAGGTAATCATCATAGCGAATACATTTTCATTGTAGTGAACTCTCAAATATGCAGGGTAATGGGTGGTGGGGGGGGGGAAGAGATATGGAGATATGCCCCTAATAAAATAAAACACGGGTAATGCAATGCATATGTAAGTTAGGCTATAACAACCGCACTTACGCATAACAGGGAAGTGAAGATGTAGAATGTGTCCTCTGTAATTATCGCTTCTTAAAGTTACCGATGTACTTGCCATCATGTTTAAGTCACTGACCCCCGACGAGTGAGGAGCGGTTAATAATAGAACCAGCGTATTTGTCAAAGCCGTGAATGAGCAATGTTTAATGCGCAACCCGGATAGTCTGCCTACGTATACTTTTGCATGAATTGTATTGAATATATCTGTTCAATACAGTTGTTTGGTAGGAGGCAAAAACAAGAGGCAGACATTGGCTGCTTAATAAGGTGAGTATTCTGCATTTTGGTCTGTGGAAGTTGACATTACAGAACTGCTATTCAAGAGTCCTTCAAAGGGCACTGCATAGTCTCATGTGCCATGTTGATGTTCTTTGAATGGTCATCTAACCTAACGTATTTTTTATCTCAGAGAACCAAGCAAGACGGCATTGGCTTGAAATGATCAACTCGTCATACCTAAGAACCCCCTTTCTCTGTGGGCGACTGAAAACCAGATTCGAACCAGCGCTCTGACTCGAGTCACCGGCCAGCTCTCAGCCCTACCATTTGCAAAAGTCTCATTGTCTCAGGTTGTCACTCACCTCTCCTTGAGAATGAAGAGTGCTCCCAGCTGGGCCAGCACTGTAGATGCAAAGACGGCCAGCACCTCAAAGCGGTCGTACCTTTGTGATAAGAAATAAACAAAAACCTCAGGGTTTCATGGACAAGGCAAATTCCCAAGGGGACAAATAATGGCACCCTATATCACATGGCAGACGCTTACGGAATAAGTGAGAATAACGACGCAATCATATATTTAAAAAAAAGCACGGGACTTTTAAGATGATAAAACTCAATTTGAGAACATTACAAGCACACTAAATCAGTGAATGATGGAAATTAAAATAGCGCGGTTGGTAAGCAGTGCTCATAATAGAGCTATATTAACACTTACAAAAATAATCAACTGGGAAACTCAAGTAAAATAATCTGGCCACAAGTTAAACTATTAAGCCATCTGATTCTCCTGCAATCGGCTGCTTTTGTGATGCAGAGAATCCATATCTTTACTCAGCTGCGCTCTAAACATTGACCAGTCGACATTTGTTGATTCCTCATTACATCTTCCTTCACTCGGGCTCATTATTTATCACCATTTATCTACACACGTGGTGTTATTGTTTATTACTCACACTTCCATAACATTAAGTCTGATATCAGTTGGTAATCAACCATATATTGAGTGACAAAATGGCAAATATTTTAGCCCTGGTTCTGAAAAAACTCAAACCCGGATTCCAGTAGGCCACTGGTAAATCACCGGAGGCACGTGTCATTTCTCGCGATATCTCGACATGTTATTCGACCTTGAATTGAAATGTAAAATACTGTGAAATTGAAACGTACCCAAATGAGTACGTGGCTGTGGGTCTCTTCATTGTGATCCATAGGCTTATTAAGCAGGTCAGCAAACTGAAAAGCAACGACGCAATTAGTCTCATCGAAATGAAAAAAAAGACACCTGCGTCTCAACCTTAGGAAGCAACTCTGGGTCTAAAAAGACCCAGATTTATGTACTTAGTATACATGTTGCAAAACCTCACATGACCATATAAAATACATTTATCATATTATTATATAAAAGGATCAATGAGTAATCTTTTGTGAGTGAACAGTGTTTTTTTGCTTTATAGTGTCTTTCTGTCCTGATCACTTGGACAAGTGTAGGCAAATTCAAGGCTTGCATTCTGTGGTTAAAACACCTCAACATTTTAAACATCAGTGGGTCCTTTTACTTGCAAATGTGTTCATCGTGTGTTCATACACTGAAGCAACAACAGCGTTACATACCTAAACAGATCGAATATGGTGAGGTAGGTATATGCTGTTAATGCTGAAACAAGAAGCAAAAACATCGAGATGCATATATTTTTGGGGATCTTGGCAACAATTAACTACAATACAGCATCAATATATTGTGCAATTCTCATTTTTTTATTTTCTATGACCTGTAATTGTAAACATCTGATGCTTACGTTTCAAAAAGTAGTAGACAAGCCACGTTATCTGGTTTTCAATAAAACCAATCCTTAGTATTACAAAAAAAAAATTTGGGGTGGTTGGAAAAAAATGCGATGAGTGAGCTCAAAAGAGCAAGTTTTCGAAGCCAAAAATTTGATTCCTGCAGCCACTCGCTAACCTTAAAGGGGATTTCCATAGCGTGCCACCTGCTGTAAAGTTGTTCATCTACTCGCAGGAAGATGCATTTGTGTGCCGATGCCATGGCTCAACGTCCAAGTTGCAAGATTTTAACATTGCAGTGGACTCGAGTACCTCCGGTGGCTGCAGTGGACAACTGATCTCATTACACCTGAGTTGAAAAGATCAATTCTTACTAGCATGATTCGAAGCATGCATTGTAAACTGAAAAATCAATATTCATCGATGGCTCGATGCAGTTATGCTCGTAAAGGTATGCCATTAAGATCAAATAAGGTTACCCAAGAATTCTTGATGATAAAACATATTGTTTATATACTATTATCGAAAGTACTAATTTTATCGTAACATTGTGTTGCTGATGTAGCTTGAAGAATGAGTCAAAAATAAAGCTAAAGAATGTACATGAATCATGTCTGAAATATTTTTCAAATCAGCCTCATTCCAGAACTTGCCCTTTTGAGGTATAACTACATGCAATATAACAAAATATAAGCTGTGTAGTAGTCAGCACCCACCCATGCTGTTTGTAGAGCTGCACCACGTGATGAGCAGGGCTGTGCAAACAACATTGAGGACTCCAAACACAAAGATCTTTCTTGACTGAAATTTACAAAGCAACACAAGGTAATTGCAATGCCAGCAATCAAACCAAACTATTTGCATATCTTTTACACTTTTTCTGAACGTTATCCTCATTTTGCTATCAACGTAATGTCATGAAACAAATAATCCCTTTGGATTTCTTGCAGAGCAGTACAACTTTTTTCCTTTTAGAGAATGGCCTACTTCAAGTGACCTCTATTTTACACAATAGGAGGCAGCGCTTTCCCACCTGCTCTACCGCTCAGAGTAATGTTCGTAACATCATATTAAACGGCTTTATTTTGATAGGACAACTGAAGTGGTATTTTTTGTTATTTCCAGTTTCAACATCACAATTAAAGTTAACAATGGCATTGGCAAATGCTCAACATTCCTACCGACCATCATGCTTCACTGAAAACAAAATGTAATGCTGGTACTTATCTTTGTGTGGATGTTGCAGAACAGCAGTGGGTGACGTTATTAATTTCCTTGGTAGTAAACTTGTTTATTCCATACAAGCTAATTATATGCTTTATCTTGTTTACAGCCTTCATAACAGAAAACTACATTGGTGACGAACATGCTTAGTACTAGGATGGGAGACTTCCAAAGAATAAAAGAGGTGGAGGTTTGGCTTGAGAGGCAGCCAACAGATGGCAGTACAACATTCGATGTCATTTATCTGTGCAGAGAATTGAGTATTACTCCCCTGAGACATGCTGTTTCTCTCGTACTCTGATTCCTCCCATATAAAGGGCTGGCCAAAACATCCCAATGTGGGATGCTTCTGAATAGGAGTCTCGAGGCTAAATTAAGCTTTCAAGGTATATAAAGAGCATTTATTATTAAATGTTAACCTTTCCTTACCAATACTACTGATGATCTCCCACAGCTCAGGTTATCAAGTGTACTCATTTTATCATCCTTGAAGGGACGATAATGATATTTAAGCTAATGTTCAAGTCTTAGCTCACTACATCACCGAATGAGCATACTGTGACACATTTGATGAATAGCACAGTTACTGATTTATTACAAATACAATTACCCGTCTGTCTGAGGCCACCAGTGTTGATTCCTGTATTAATCTGCTGAGCAGAGACCGCTGCGACTTCCGGAAAGGGTGGATTGTTCCCTAGGGTGGATATGAGAGTCAAAGTATCAGGCACTACACACACACACAAGGGTCAAAGGTATATTCACAACATTTATAATCGCACTTACAAAACACCACAATGGTGTCGGGCCTCAGGAGTGTACATACGCTTGAACAATAGCCACAGATAGCAAAAACCTTAACCTGCTGAGTGCATCTATTTTAAAGTACACAGCGATAAGCCTAGAGTGGGTAAGAGTGGTTGTGTAGCGGTTAATGAACCAAGCAAACTGAATGTGATTCTTGGCCATAGCCAACATCAGTGGCAAGTGATATCTGAACCGGAATGGGCCCTCTTCTTGACCAACCCGTGCTGACCATCAAAGTGAAGGAAGTACAGTTAAAAAAATACATTGATCTAAACAGGGTGGGAAAGTCCTCATCCTGCAGTGGATTGACTCAAGGGCTGTATATTTACACACACAAATACACACACACAAATGCACGTGTACTTATGTGCATCATATATAAATCTATGTACACTGGGATGAAAGCCAAGAGTTCGGTCAATTAACTATCATTATTTGGTGTGTGAAGGCTCTCAATGAATTGGATTTACAATTCACAGATTGTTATTTACAATATTCCATATAAAATAATTAAGTGTGTGCAATGTAAACATTATTAAATTACTTACAGACACATATTGATTTCCAAGGTGTAGTGTCTTATGAACAGGTTCTGTGGAAACATACACAAAACAAATTAATAAACATTACATTCCAGGTACACTTATTATTAATGTTGTATAAGCAACATGGGTCGACGTCGCCCAAGCACAACTCATTTACCTTCCCTCTACATGGGGGCACAAAGTGAGCAATGAAAGCAGTTTGTATACGGTATGCAACTGGTGTACTAAGAGAAACCCCACCACATACCAGAGGATAACACTCAAATGTTTGTAAAGTTTAACGAACCCAATTGGTGTACTGCAACCTCATGGCCAATTCACAGCCCAGCGTAATTGGGATTGGGAAGTTTCACCAATCTATGCGATGCGCTAAGGATCGTCTCCAAAGTGCTAAATAACAGGAGCGTGCCACTACGTCTGGTTAAATGTACTTTGATGGTGGGAGCGGTGGTGCCGTCCGTATCGTACTGGCGAGTCGAATTTGATCCAGTTCTAGCCAACCCCTACACCAACTCACACTGACCAATAACCCCGATGACAGATACATCATGGGGAGGGATTCATCGAGCAGTGGATTGACAAAGAGCTGTACATATATTTTTCTTATATAACTTTTTTTATCATGTATGTAGTAGAGAAAGGGTCAAACTACAGTGCGGTTCTTGAAATTTCCAAAAAAATGGCTCTTCTTGTTATTTTGGTTGCCGTCCCCTGACCGTGGAAGTCCATATTCTTAGCTCTTTCGGTAAAGTCACGTTGAAGGGAAACAATAAAATATATATAAAATAAAATATATATAAAACAATAAAATATATATAAAACAATAAAATATATATAAAACAATAAAAATTCTTACGACGTTTCGACCATAACACAAACGGTCATCATCAGGGGTGAAAAACCAACGGCAAGAAACATTTGAAAGTGGCGGTTTGTATTTATTTATTTTTAAACGGTGTATTTATTTATTTATAAAAAACCGTTAGCACCACGGGCAGCGATTTGACAGTTTATTTAGAAGGACGAGTCCATCTATGTTCTGAAAAGAGGAGGGGGGAGACGAAAAATTAATGGATGGTGTTTGAAATCCACCGTAAGCGTGAACAATCAATTAAGACCTGAAATGGTTTATCAAATCCTTCCAATGATTGCTAAGCCAGAATCCATCTTCTCGGTTGAAATTGTTTCTGTGCTTGTATATGTGGATAGCCTCATGAACGAATCTCTCATGCTAGCCAGATGGCATACAAAGAACCTCTGTCTTGGAGAAATCAATGTCATGTGAGCCTACTGAATTATAACAATGATCTGCAACGGCCGAGGTGTTGGTCCTACCGTGTTTAAGGTCTGCTTTGTGTTCAAGAATGCGGTCTGAGACATGGCGTTTGGTTTCTCCAATGTAACTACTATCACAGAGGCAACTTAGGAACCAGATCACGGATTTTATGTAATGTGTTGAAACGGACCTGGATCTTGTGTTTATTCAAGATTTTGGAGATCTTTTTTGTGATCCCCGCAATGTAGGGTAAAGTGATGGTTTTGAAAGGCTCCTCAAGAGGGTCCTTCTTCATGGTTTGAGTGATAGCTTTGCGGATTGTATAGTCGGAGTAACCATTAGCCTTAAGAGCTTGGTGTACGTGCTTGAGTTCACTGTCTATGTGTTCCTGGTCGGATATGCATTGGGCTCTATGGTACAGAGTCTTGATGAGAGAATTCTTCTGTGATGGATGGTGGTGGGAATCCGGTTTCAGATAAGCATCCGTATGGGTAGCTTTCCTGTAGACAGAGTGGCTCATTGAACCATCAGGTCTCTTTTTTTTATTAGGACATCCAAAAAAGGTAGCTTGCCATCTTTTTCGACTTCCATGGTAAATCTGATGGCTGGGTGTATGGAATTGATGTGGTCGAAGAATTGGTCTAGAGCAGGCCGGCCATGTGGCCAGATGACAAAAGTGTCATCCACATACCTCTTCCATAAGGTTGGGCGTAGAGTGGCAGTCTGGATGGCGTCAGTCTCAAATTTCTCCATGAAAATGTTAGCTATAACCGGAGATAGGGGGGAGCCCATTGGGGTGCCCTCAGTTTGTAGAAAATTCCATTCCAAGTGAAGTATGTATTGGTTAAACAGTGTCTCACCAGGGAAGTCCAGTTCACCAAGGAAGTACAGTTCACCATGGAAGTCCAGTTCACCATGGAAGACCAGTTAACCATGGAAGTCTAGTTTACCATGGAAGCAAATTCACCATGGAAGTCCAGTTCACCATGGAAGACCAGTTCACCAAGGAAGTCTAGTTTACCATGGAAGCAAGTTCACCATGGAAGTCCAGTTCACCATGGAAGTCCAGATCACCATGGAAGACCAGTTCACCATGGAAGTCCAGTTCACCATGGAAGTCCAGTTTACCATGGAAGTCCAGTTCACCATGGAAGTCCAGTTCACCATGGAAGTCCAGTTTACCATGGAAGACCAGTTCACCATGGAAGCAAGTTCACCATGGGAGTCCAGTTTACCATGGACAGGGGTCGGCAACCTACGGCTCCTTGAGAATTGTTTTGTGACGTTATTTATTCAGTACCGTCTCGTATTCACGTGCATTGCGGCTCTTGTAATATTGAGGGTTTTTTTAATGAATTCGAAAAAAAATTATGTTTGTCCACCCCTGTTGTAGAGCAATGTCAGCTTATACGATAATTGCAACATGCAACGCTATGGCACATTGACGCTGTGCGCGATGGGATCGCGAGTGCTATGTGATAATGATCGTGCACGTGGCAGAGGAACGATACTCAGAAGTGGGCTTTGCGCAAGCGGCCGACGGTCAAGAATAATGCCGGAGTGGCAGCCAAAGGATGAAAACGCGTCCGAGTGAACGTCGAGGTGTGGGGGGGAGGGGTAGAGCGTTCCAATCGGATCGGATCGCGTGTATGCGCTGGTGGATTAATTGGATTGTGAGAGATGACACTGAATTGGAGACTTTCGTCCAGCAGTGGATTGATCATGGCTGATGATCACGACTACTCGTGGCAACGACTCTGTATGTCGCGCAGGAGCACTGCACACCGAGAAAGTCAGACACTCCAAAATGAAATAAACTTGACGGAAAACGACACTCTACGGAGCGTTATAGCGCACATAAAAATATCAGTTTTTATTAATTCCGTCGTCATTTCTCTCGTACGCTACCCCCGCCCCTTGACCACCCACAACGCGTTACGTCCCCGCCGCTTGAACGCCGCCCTCCCCGGCAGCGCTGCCAGGCAAGGACGAGGCTTCCCTCGGGCCCAGCAATCCCTTTCCAAGGACATAGCCGCACCTGCCGAGTTCAGGCGCGCCACGTCCACGGACACCATGTCGGGTCTGTAGGTGGCATAGGCGGAGATCTTCCTCTCCGTCACCTCGGTGGGCACCACGTCGGGTTTGGGCCCCAGCTTGCGCGGGTAGTAGCAGTCTCCTACCGGGGCCTGCGCGGACGTGGAGGCCGCCATGTTGAGGGATTCGCCTTAGGGACCGCGGCGATTTCAACCCCCCGGAGCTCTTTAGGCTGCGGCGTGGACACTGTGCAGGGGCATTGTACAAAATACAGGGTGAATACAGAATTAAAGATTTCGTGACTGCATAAATTACTCATTGTTTTTTTTTTCGGTAAAGTCACATATGTAGAAATACCATGAAATTATATTAAAATAAATCAAAATCGAAATGTCGTGATTGATTTATTTTAATATAATTTTATGGTATTTCTACATACGTGACTTTACCCAAAAAAGCCAATGAGTAAAATACACCCTGCTTCACAAATGTTTTTTTTTAAACACTCATAGGGGATTATCGTTTTAATGGAAAAATAACACATGATAAACTGGAACGTGATAAATGTTAATAGCTTCAAAAAGTCAAAGAGTCTCCCACTTTACATTATGAGACCTCCTTTGCCAGTAACAAGATGTAGTAATAGGTTTTTACCCTTTTAACTGGCACACAAACTGACACCTTTATTCAAGGCATCATGTTTGCAATAACCACAACACAAGCAGTCAAAATGTAAACAAAAGAGACAACTCTGATAATAATATTGGCACTGTCCTTGAATTTGATTGATCCACACCCGAAACGGCTTTTCTTAGAGCCTAGTCTCCACTGGTGTTGGACCAGAAGACGCCAAAAGGCGTACAACTCAAAAACAGCGCACTATCAGAGCCCTAAATACTCTGATACATTCATATCTCGTAAATATGAATGTGTCGTGAATGTAGTCATATACATTACAATGGATTATGGTAATCAGAGAATATGCAGTATAAATTACCGGTTGGATTAGTCACAGTTAATCAACATGATATCCTGAATAGGCATGCAATTAAATAGTGTATTACTTAATATACTTCCAAGCAGCACTGAGCCCGTAAGCTTTCAGGACAGCTTCAATTATTTTTGTTTCAATACATTTAAATAGATTCTCTAATTTGTCTTGGCCAGTAATTATTATTAGCCAACCGCGCTAATTGGAGGTGCTGGCCAGTAGACATAATTAATAATTAGATTTCGTAGCGCAGTTTGAGTGGTGTTATTTAAGCATTGTATAAATTCGAATTCTTAAGACCACACATTTTACGTCTAACTTCTTTCGCACCGTACGTAGACAACCGTACTGATCGGAGATGCGGCGATAGGACAGCAAACTAAACGCAAAAAGCAGTTAACATTGATTTATCATGGCTCATATAACCCGTAACGATGAAGTATATGATGACTTGTACATATTTTAATGTCAGCTGTGCTACATTCTTCTTCGCTATGGGGATTTCTGATCATCACGAAACATGAAATTGTACACACACACACACAAAGAGATCACTTCATCAAGTTCATCTTTTTGAATATCCTTTATTAAAAAAGACGACATTAAGAGCTAGCTAGGCGTACACATTAGGTCTATTGTACAATTACAGTTCTATCACGATGGAAAACATAACATTCAAAACCTTATTCAGAAATAAAATAACCAGTGGAATGCACAACGTGAGACATTCAGATATTAAGACAGGTCTTGGCAGATGCAGATTTTTTTGTACTCTTAGAATGCTGGGGAAAATAAAACACTTTATAACCCACACATTTCACTTTGTCCAAAAAGCAGCAAGCTTTTGTTGAGAGTAGATGAATTAGGTGGCTTAAAAAGGGGGAGTGTTACGTTTATTGTACGGCATTTGTAGGGAGATGATGAAGCAAAACATTAAAAGCAGCTCACAAGTGTTCCAACAAATCCAGTGAGATGTATCTACAAAACATGTGTGGGTTATCAAGTTCATTCTTGAACATCCCTCAAATTATATCTCAATTTTACTGAAATAATGACGTATACATACACACTCACAACCAGCAACTCCGTTTGTGTTCTGTCCCCAAACCATGCAACCAATAAGAGATGAGCTCCAAATCATATTGAAGACAGTTTGCGAGATCTTTGGCACTCACGAAAAAATGCATTTCGGGGTTCATTCTATTATCCAGGTTCATATGTGAATTACTCCTTTTACCCGAGTGGATACAAGGTGTGGATAAAATTGATGCAATTATGAATTTACCACCACTTCCTCCAAGTCATTTCTCTTTACCAAACAAATGCTCTCATAGGAATATCGGATAATAGCTATGCAGACAAAATAAATGTCACTGTAGTCAATGGAGACCAGACTGGGAACAAATCCACTACATCGGTGGAATGTCAGATTAAAGGTCGGCTCAGAGCTCCGTGTCACCCGGTTACCTCTTTCGCAATGCAGCATCAAACAGGGTTTTGTTCAGTCATCTGTAATAAAAAATCAATTACATGTAACTTTTAAAAAAGCACTGTACACTAAATACAATTAATGTTTGGTACCTCGGCTGCCAAGGGAATAACATGAAGATGAATGCATCGATTAAGATTCATCCTTACAATCATAATGCATATATTGAAATAAAACACTTCAATAATCAATGATTTACGATCTATATATGCTAATTGTGTTTTCGGATGTTTCCAGACAATTCTTTGAAGAAACACGTTTCTGGAAACGTTTCTATGCATCAGACATCAGCATGTCCTCCATACGCATCTTATCTTCACACTTCCTCCTTGCATCTCCTTCCTCTGCTACAATCCGAATTGGTTTTACGTTTACTTAAACTCACATCTTGCTTAGCGCAAGGGTTTCCTCCAATCAGTATACATCATTGTGGGATTTAGCACTCGAGGCTTGAAGAACCTACACAGGCCTGTATATTCTGGTCGCGTGGATTTTTCTCCGGGTCCTCCGGGTTTTCCCCTTCACATTTAGAAACATGCGTTTAGAGTATTTGCCTCCTATAAATGTCCACATAACAAGCCACTTCTCATTGGGCCATCATTTGTGGCCAGGTGGCTTCTGAAAGGCCAGGTAAGTCCCACTGAGAGCTATGCAGCTGAGTGGGCCTTATTTTATTGCATTTTTTTACCTACGTGACTTTACCGAATAAAACCAAAGAGTATGGATTCTTGCAGTCACGAAAACTTCAAATCTAGAATAAAAAAAAGTTTCGTAGTTTTATTGTTTGCCATGGTCAGGGTGGGATCGCCGTCCTCAACCTGTGCTTAGATGGTGCCGTGCTATGCTACTTGAGTGACTAAATTTTGATTTAAAGCTTTCGTGACTGCAGGGATTCATATTCTTGTTTCTTTCGGTAAAGTCACGTAGAAGGGAAACAATAAAATAATAAAAATATAAAACAATACAATTCTCATGACGTTTCGACTGCAACACAAGCAATCATCAGGTGTGAAAACCACAACAAGAACATTGTGGTTTTCACTCCTGATGATTGCCTGTTGCAGTCGAAACGCCGTGAGAATTTTATTGTTTTATATTTTTATTATTTTATTGTTTCCCTTCTACCACAATTTTCTTGTTGTGGTTTTCACACCTGATGATGATTGCTTGTGTTGCAGTCGAAACGTCGTGAGAATTTTATTGTTTAATATTTGTATTATTTTATTGTTTCCCTTCTACGTGACATTACCGAAAGGACCAAGAATTTGAGTGACTAATTTGGGTGGTACTGAGCACCGTGTAAAGCCCCATAGGCTGGGGACACCTCAGCTTCCGACAAAGCGGCCTTTGACAGGGCTCGCACTTTCTTCTGTAATTTGATGAGCGGTGCTGGTCTCTCCTCCACACCACGAGCTTCTGGGTACCTAACAGTAATGCCCGAGGCTGCTGCCAGGCCGTCCAAACATGTGAGCTAAGTGTGCCGCATATATGGTGGGAGAGATGAATAGACAAGGCCACTTGGAACATAAACTAATTCTGTCTACAAATTGGACAGATCTAATTGTAGAGGTATTAGATTAGACCAACACCTGCATCACATTGTATAAATTAGCAGATTATTACATTACTGTTCTGTAAAATCACAATTGGACAACTGTTAATAGAAATATAAAAATAACATCCATACATTCAGAATTGGAACTTTTTTTTAATAAAATAGCCGATCCAACAGATACAAGTCCAGCTATGTTTTTCAAGTGCTTCAATTAAACGTAAAATGTGTGTCCCTTAGAGAATATTCCATACCTTTAAAAAATGCTGGTAAATCTAATCCAACGTTTTACAATTGTGCTATTGGCATCATGCTGAGATGAATAATCCATTCAGAATACTTAGCAGAGCAATGCAACCCTTCGTGTTGGAGACATCTTGTAGGGCATATGAAACATTCAAGTGGATTTTTAAAAAAATCCATAACCACTAGAGGGTGCACTTTCCCCTGAACTGTCCTTTAAGATTGTTTGTCACATGACAGATGTAGAAAAATTGGCAATTATCAAGCAATGTGAACATGCATCCTGGCAGGGATTTTATAAAGTAATCCACTTACTTTAGCGTACTTCTCAAAGATATCATATTTACAGTCATTTTATATGTAACACAAATTAACCAAAACGTAAAACACTTTCAAACCAGTCCTTCTGCCTGCCTGTGGTCACTACGTGTGATCCACTAAAATATAGAGGAGCAGTCGCACAAAATCCATCCATTATCTCTGACTGGCTCAGATGAAGCCACAAGTCCCTTTGTATGTCCTCATTTTATGGGTCAATGCCGGTCCTACTGAAACCAGGACACAAGTCTGGCCTCACGTGTACACCATGGATTTTAAACCTGGTCTTGGGAAACACCAGGGCCCCATTGCAACTGAATGTCTTCCAATTAACTAGCAGACTGGAGCAGTTTCCACATGACGAGTAGCCACAGCGAGTGGTATACTTTTTGTGTCTGATGTGGAAATATTTTGCGGGTCATCAACCTAGACAGCCCTTGCTTAAGTTAAGCCCTGGACAACATGGTGGGTCCTTCATTCAGTATTCTTGCATCCCAGCCTTCCACCGCGTTCTGGGAATGTAGGTGCTACTGCTGTACTGGACTCATTTTAAAAGTGCAGGCGATTGTTCTGGCATATGGTTGAAATTTGGCAAATTTGATAAATGCCATGCAAATTACTTCATTGTAGCAACATAGTCCTCCTACTGGCAGAGTAATGCCCACTTGCTTTCCAATGCCGCATTCACCCTGTGCTGTACAGAGACAGCTGCCACTAGAGGTCCTCCTTGGCTAGACGACCACAGAGTGCCTTGAGATGTACTCCATAGGAGGCTATCAATATGAAGTCATTGGTTTTTAACCATTTTATTATGGCGGCCCCCAAGCAAATGGTGCCCGTGTCCTCCCTTCCCACCTGCCAATCCCCCAAAACATGACTCGGGTTACTAATTCCCACAATACAGAGGGAACACGTCCACTCCTCTAGCCAGCGCCTAGTTAGTACTCTTAAGACATTTGTTTCACGTCACGTATTAAGTCTACTTTGCCACCGCAACTTGGCGCTGACGTTTCCTGCACACGTTAAAATGTCTTAATTTCTCCTGCATGGTATCAATGCCGTGGCCCGTGTCGGCTCATGGGGTGGAGAACGGCCGAATTCTCGCGATAACGGCGATGACGATGACGACTGGCTGGCACTGGGAGGTTTCCGTGCCATCACGAATGCTTGCGCTGCAGGTTCTGCGTGGCGAGCTGGAGGCGGTGGTGGTCGCGGATGTTGCGCGTACGGACGTGTACGTTGGTGATCTCTGCCACGTTTGCCGTGGGGAACCAGCCGCCCTTCTCCGCGTCTGAGAGCCGGACTCCTTCCATCCAACCTGCGGGACACCCACCACGACCGAGGGACAGGGCAAAAGGTCAAACCACGCGGGGAACGTCCCACGCGACGTGCCGCGGAAGATTTTGCGACTCGTGCGTACAGCGGGCTACTGAAAATGTGTCGCTGTGCCGTGAAAGTAGCTTGCCATCGGAGGTTTTCCTTGTGATGCTGAGGATGTCGCCCTTGTCCAGGCTCAGTTCGTCGGGCTCCTGGGCGACGTAGGCTTTCAGACAGTAGACCTGCGGGCAGTCTGTCACACCGCCATCATTACCGTCAGTCATGATCTAGCCACTGCTGGACGAAGACCTCCCCCCAAGCCATCTCCGTCTCTCATTGGCCTCGTGATACTCACTACAATGACACATTATTGGGTGTACATTTCTGAGGGTATGGCTTCTTCTTGCGTGGCCCTCGACATCTAAAATAATGTATTTGGTGTATTCACTGATTGCAGAGGAGAAGCGATGAGCGGGGAGAAGGAGGAGAGTGTGTGTCGGGGAGTAGAGTGAGATGAGAGGGGCGTGGTCTTTGGAGCATCTTAAAGACAGTGAGCGAGATCTTGAACTTGATGTGGGATTGTATTGAGAACGATGTCGAGGCGTGTCTCTCAGCCATGTCTTCTAAACCACAAGTCTCCCTTTCCCCATGCCCACCAGTCTTGTTATTTATGAATATGCTCAGCGATACACTCTGCTTCTCCTGGCACGGTTATCTGGCTTGACCACCTGCATGTGAAATTCTAGTTGTTGTTCTGCATCTACATGAGCCATACGAAAAAAATAAGATCTTAATATGCTGACTACATCAATGCCTTCGTGCCAGACAATAGTAGTGTTCCCCCTACTGGCAGCTGTGCTGTTCTACGCTTGACATCGTGCAGGCCTCACCTTCCCCCTCGTAGACCAGGGCCGCCTCGTCCTTGCGCTGCGGTGGCGCGATGGCCTCGACCCAGCGCTCCTTCTCGCTCCTTCGACATTGGAACGGCGGTGGACACAATGTCAGTGAACAGCGATTGACGCTGCTTCGCATTATCCAAAGGCATAACCATTAATCCCTTCCCCACGTTGAAATTCTTTCGAAGCGTACGTGGCCAACCGTGCTAATCGGAGGTTTAGTTACGCTGGGCACAGGCGCCCCCCCCCCCACCGCCGCCCGGTGACACCAAAACACACCGATGCGAGCGTTACGTACTGCGAGGCAGCGCGCAGGAGGAGGCGGTACTTCCGGCTGTCGTGGTCGTCCAGGAGGAGGTAGAAGGAGTTGTCCGTGGCCACGTTATTCTCGGCCGCACCCACGGACTGTAACTCCACCTTCGTGCGGTCTGCATGGCAGAACACGGTGAACTTCCCTCCGCTGCTCGCAGACACACGAAGACAAAGATCCCCCCCCCGTTTAGCCTTAACAGACTGTTTTGGGCAAGTGCTGTTCTCGAGCGCCTACGAAGGCCGGACAGGCGCACGAGGTGGTGGGTCGCCAGAACCACGCACCAGTGGCGATGTTTCCATCGCACCAGGTATACATTTTGAGGCCGAGTCGACCTCGGGGAGGCCCAGGACCGGTTCAGATAATCGTAAATGGTGTTGGCCGCGAGCGGGGAATCTAATTCGGCTGCTGCGGCAAGAGTGCTGTCAGCGAGCACCTATTAAGGCTGGTGAGGTGCACGGTGGAGGGTGGTGTGTGATTTGGCGCCAAGCTCGGTCGAATTTGTCTCCCCATCGCTGATGTTTAAATATTGTGCCGCACCACATCTTGTAGGGTTGTGGGCTGAGGTGGCTGGAATCTGCAAGATCGGAGTCTCTCACTCAATGATGTGCTCGTCATTGTGAGAGCATTGCTCAGCCACTTCCTGTCATTACTGCAGGGAAAGTGGCCAAATGTAATGTTTGTGACGTTGTCATGTTGTTTCTGCTTTGACAAATCAAGTGGAAAAAAAACGAATTTGATATGATGATTTTTTTGCATGGTCATTGTTGACCAGGCTGAGACTATCAACTCGCTACACAAACATCAATCACGGGCGGCTGAAACTCAGATTCTCTTCCAGGATGTCAGCGGTGCTGGCTTAGTGCGCTCCGGCTCCTGACTTCTTGTTATATAACGTATCAATGTTAAACTCATTTTGCACTTTACGTAATTAACCGTGCTAATCTGACGTGCGGGGGCAGGACAAGAAACTAAACACTAAAAGCAGCGCTCAAGAAATGAATTTCAATCTAGATTTACAAGTGCACAGTTCCTTCCTAACATCGGAAGGAACGGCGTTCAAGGCGGCCGCAGAAGTGCAGCTGAAGCGCATCTGAAAGCGCGCAATGCAGCGACAATCTTTGTTCGATGGCTTGCCAAAAGCCACCTGCAAGGATGACCGCACTTTGCTGATACACTTGCTGTATCAGCAAGTGCATCACGGTTCATTTGCGGCAAGCACATTGCATGCAACGAGTGTGCGACCTGACAATGTATTTCTTTAGCAAACCGAAAACAGCCGTTGAGAGGGAGTGAGAGAGTCTCAGCTGCCACAGCACCACCCCGGTGGACAATCACGACCAGTTTGCATTGCAGCGGCAGCTACCTCAGCTACCGCTGCCGCACAGCCCGGTTGCGGCGACGTCTCGCTTCACTCACTCCTTGCGCCGGGACAGGATGAGGATGTCGTTGAACAGGTGCAGATAGATTCGCTTGGTCATGAGCCTGTTCATGAGCGTGCTTCCCGCCGTGCGCGACACGGCCAGCTCCAAAAGCTCCCCGTGCTTCACCAGCCAGCGCGTGGGGGAAATGAGGGCCAGCGACTGCGACGACACACACACATACACAAAGGCGAACATCTCCCATTGTGGCCTTGAACAGACTGTCAGGGGAAAGTGCTGTTGAGCGAGCGCCTATGAAGGCCTCCCGCGGCATAGCGAGCAACAGAGTCGCGTCGTGGAGGCAGAGTTGGCACAAAGAGATTGCGACAGCGGATTGCTGCAGCGTGTGGACAAAGGAATACCTTCATTTTGTCAAACTCGATGGTATTGTGCAGGTGGATTAACTCCTCCGTCCTCTTCATTTTCCGAGCATTTTCATTGCACTCTTGTATCAACTGCAGATGGAAAATCAACATCAAGCTCTTAAAGTGGTTACAACAGTGTGTTCTAATAATAGAGGGTTTTTTTGGGGTTAGATCGCGTAAATATACAAATGTGTCATTTAAAGCCGACACAGCCAACTTGCGAGGGTTGTCACATAAACAGAACGTGGCCAATTCGTCACTAGCACAGCACACCGGTGTGTTGGAGAGCCAAGCCACAACATTCACAATCTGAGTACGACGTTTCGCCAGTGTGTTCCAAACCGCTCGGGTGATGTACGTATTTATGTTGGCGTTCTTTCGCACCATACGTAGCCAACCGTGCCAATCGGAGGTGATGTGTATGATGCTGGCTGTAAACAATATTATCGGTGCTACCCACAAGTGGTTCAAAGGCAGAGGTACAGTGCTGCAATTTCTTGCGCACGCCACTTCTGTTCGATGGGCCTCCACTAAACAGAGATCTCTCTCTCCCGAGGCTTTCTAAAGAGGGTATTTTAGCCTATTTTTCCCACTCAGGCCAGACAATTTGAAAGAGGTGGGATGTATCGTCACTTTGCCCCGCCACGTGTGACCGGCTGATCGACTGTGGTGGACCCGCTTTACGCTGCTGCGTGGCGGAAATAAAAGGGTGGATTACCAAAACTGAACACCGTGTCCGATTCCATGCTGGATTTAAATCGATGACACAGGACTAATGGCAGGACCCCTCGTCATAGTGTTGCAGTATCATCGTTTAGTTTTATTTGTATAATTTTTTAAGCGATTTGTTTACCTTGCCTATGCTGTGGACTCCTATCGTGTTTTTGTATTGTTCATTGTTGCAACCTTGTGACCCACCCTTACTGGACATCTGTGAAAAAGAGCTTTATAGCTCATCGGATTCCTCCAGAATAAATATTCTGATTCTCATTCTCAGTCGAGCGATTGAGTCCCCGGCTCACAGTGGGAAGGTTACAAGTTCAAATCCCGGTTGCGGATCGACTTGGCCCATCATCCCCCTCCAGGGTTGTAAAAACGAGTACCAACTTGTTCTGTAAATCAACAGCGGTCGTCTTGATTTGAAGCTTTCGTGACTGCAGGAATCCATACTCTTTGGTTCTTTCGGTAAAGTCACGTTGGTACCTACGTGACTTTACCGAGTGGTTGTCTTTTGTATAATAGTTCCCCTGCCATAGATGTGGAATTTCCACCACTTTGATGTTTCCTCTTTATCCCTGCAAAGGCAGAAATTTAAACATATGGGATAGTTACCCTTGCCAATGCTTTCAGTGCCACGGAAGCAGTTTCTTCATATCGGGAATGTGGTTCCGTTTTCTTGAGGATATTCTAGCGCACAGGAAAAAAAGACAGGACCAGTCACATGCAAACTCCGTACAGGCAACACCGTTCACTGTGCTTGTATGATCATGTGTTATGTGCACATATAGATGGCCCTTTTCCAGTCCAATGCTAGATGAAGCCCTCTCTCACGCGGTCAGAATTGTGGGGCTATATTTTACCATACTTCGCCACGCTGGTCGGTGCGGGTTGGTGAAGGCGGGCAGCATAGACGGTGGGAGCTGAGTACCGCATAACGATGAATCTCGCTGCACTAGCCTCTGCCACCCCACAGTGTAGCCCCAAAGCAGCTTATAAGACCCGTGTTTATGCATGGTGGTCACCGATGAAGTTGATATTGTTTAGCCAGGAGACTGCGATAGTCTTATTTGCAAGCGTGACCTGGGTATCCAAGCACGCGCTTGGAGGCTCAACCTTGCTTAGCTTCCAAGAGCCTACGAGATAGGGCGCATTCAGGTGATTTAGTCATACGCCAGTCAAAAACGTCTAGGACAAGGGGTGGCTGGACATCCGAGGGGTCAAAGCACGGAGCCAGTACCCACTGAGGCCCAGAGTTCAAATGCAGATGTGCATATTGTTATGCAGGTTTCTGCGTCTGGGATGTGATTACAACATTCGCTACCAGTCTCATCTCAGGAAGGGGGGAGGGGAGGTGAAGTGGGGGGAGCCCAAGCATCAAATCAAAGCTCCGATCTGTACCCGGCCACGCTCAATTCTCTCAGAGGGCCAGGAGCGCACGAGCTTGGTGGATCGTGGTGGCGACTGACCTCGAGAAGTATCTTGATTCGCACGATGCGCTGAAAGGGCAGGATGAGGAATGACTGGAGCGAGAGGCGGTTGCAGATGGGGTCCTCCTGCAGATGCTCCAGCAATGGGGAGAACTTGGCGTTCGTCCGCCTGGAGAACGACACCGCGCGCGCGACCACGCACAACACCCAAACAAGGTGACGGACATCACTGTCGCTGTTGTATAGTCAAGCAGGGGCATTAACACCAGACAATGCGTGGCTTATTAGTCAATGGGCGTTCAAGTCAGGCAGTGTACTATATCGCCAAGCAATGGACGCTGCAGCCGGGACAATATGTTGTCTAGCATTGGACATTAAAGCCAGACAGTGGGTTCTATAGTCAAACTGTGGGCAATGACGTCAGCTGCTTTGCTTTCAATATGCTTGATATCCCAAAAAAGATCCAGACTGTGCACGATTTACCTATATGCCTGGACATACTAAAAACTATTTTTAAAAAACCAAACTATATACAGCATTAACATGCCCGTTGATTTTCTAGGCAGGCCTCACAAGCTATTTAGTGGTGCACTGCACTGGCATACCTCGGCAGTTCGATGAACGCATCGCAGGTACAAACTTTCATCGGCACGCCCACGAGTTTGTTCTTGCAAAGCCTACTCTAAGCACCTGTTATGCGAAAACTGCATCAGCTTCACATGACCAGCCACGTAGATTGTTGATGTGCACCAAGGCCGTAGCCATGGAGTCAACATTGGGGGGGACCAAGTCTTCCAGGGTGTCTGGGGGTCCCAACCCAGAAAAATATCCAAATATGAAAACTCATTTCCTGCCTAAAATATAAAAAAAATCACTAACACATGGGATGGACTTTTTAATTATTTTTTACAATAATGTCTAATAGTTTTGATTTAAAGCTTTTGTGACTGCAGTAATTCATATTCTTAGCTCTTTCGGTAAAGTCACGTTGAAGGGAAACAATATATTTTATTATTTTATTGTTTCCCTTCAACGTGACTTTACCGAAAGAGCTAAGAAAAATGTCTAATAGTGTATTGTATTTACATTGCTCTGTTTTTACTTTTTTTACCATTTCTTGTTTCATTGTATGTAATGACAGAGATTAGGGATTAATAAAGTACAACCATAACCACAATCATATAATATATTATAATTACGGCCTTGATGTGCACAGCCCATTGTTATTCCACTGCCGCGTAAAAGCACCCCCCCCCCCCCCCCCGCATTGTGTTGGTCATGGACAGGAGTCGGCAGAAGCCGCCGCATGCGGTGGTTCTTTAAGGACTGCTTCGTGATGTTATTTATTAAGGACCACCGTCTCGCATCGCGGCTCTTGAAATAGTGTGCTTTGTACCGAATTCTAACAAAAAATGTCTCTCCTTGTTATTGTGGTTGCCGATCCCATGGTCATGGAGGTGTGCTCCACGTTACTACGCGTGTCGGATTACAAGTTACAGTTCAGCTGAATTTTTTTTTTATGTTAAAGCCAAGTAACAGGCATTGTTTTGCACTTTAAATAATTTGCACGCCCGAGACGCATAACAGCAGCCAGGGGCAATCTCTCAGGCCGCCATATTCACGCGCGTGACACGCCATGTATACGCGTTGTTCCACATTCCATTAAATCGTTATTAAATTTATAACGCGTAACCAATAGAACGTAAAGGGCCATGCAGAGGCGTGGCGAACTTCTCTTCAGTGAGTTGGTGGTGAACACATTATAGATTTAGATCGCTTATGAAAAAATATTCTTACTGTACTCATATTTTGAAATGCACCCTTTACAGAAAAAAAACCACTCGCTTAACTTAATCTACTTCCGCGATCATTCCAACAATTCAGTGTCACACCTCGTGGGAGGCATGTTGCTCGCTTAACCGATGATGGGGATTATACGTTTCTCAATGTCAGGATGACACTCGAAGCAATGTAGGACTTGAGGCTTACACTGCTCGTTGGGTTAAACCAAGCAACCCTGTGGACCATAGTTTTTGGGAGTCCAAATATGGACATTGTATTTTGGCTTTTTCTAAGTTTTCAAGTTAGAAGAATACAGTAGTCTCAACTACAAATTTGGCAGGTTTGTGTTTTCCAACCTTTCGACATCAGTGGCATTTATATCAGTCATACAATGACAATGTTAGCCCCTGACAGATGGTGAATGGCAAATTAAGTGAAAACCCACGCTTTGTTGAGGTCGTGGATTGTTGTGTATAGCCGTTGAGACAAGGCTGTTACAATCAGTTTATCGAATTTGGTATAATCATATGTGGCTACCCAAATCAATGTGGCTACGTATGTATCATGACTGGCTGCCTAGAATGTCTCAAAATGACACATCAGAATCTTTAATTATACTGGAGGAATTTGATGAGCTATGAAGCTCTTTCCAACAGATGTCCAGTAGTGGTGGGTCAGAGAGTTACAACAACAAACAATACGAAAACACTACAGAATTGCAAAGTATATTAAAGGTAAACAAATCACTCAGAAATATATATCTACTAGCTGTACTACCCGGCTCCGCCCGGGACTTGGATCCACCACGCCCGGCCGCCTTTGTCTCCCCAGTGGCAATGTTCACACACCACAGCAGTTACTCGTTTTGATGCCGAGTCGACCTAGGGGAGGCCCAGGATCGGTTGAAATAATCGTCACCGGTGGTGGCCGTGAGCGGGAATCGAACTCGGGTCGCCGGGTTCGTAGCGCAGCGCGCTAACCGCTACACTACAATGCGTTACGCTTCCACATGTGTGGGTCACGTGACAAATGCGACGTCACAGCTCACTTGCCATGCAAAAATATATGCATTATTGAGCTCCCCCCCCCCCCCCAAAAACAAACAAACAATAGTGTATTTTTATAATTTTTGCATGGTGTACAGTCTGGAAACTACCCACATGGCAAATTTCAAGTTTGTTGCATGTCGGGAAGTACGCTAAACATTTTGAACAGACACACATTCACAACTTTGCCTTTTATATATATGGAGATGTTTATTTTACCAGGTAAAGCCCACTGACCTATTCGTTTTCACAAGCAACCTGCCTTCGAATGATAGCGCAATGAAGTGGCTTTTCACGTGGAAATTTATGGCAGCCAAATACTCAAAATAATCACATGGATTGGGTGCCATTGAGAAAGAGAGGCGTGTGGGGAATGCAGCTAGCAGGAACTGCCTGCGATCAATGACCCAACTATGTTCAGAAGCTGGGTACCACATGAGAAGAGGAGATCAACGATGGCTAACCTCGAGTAACCGCACATTTGCTGTGCGCAATTGGCCAATTAGGCTAAATGCCACTGACAGATACCGACAGGGGAGCCGGGAATACGCGAATGGCTCAGCGCCCTTGCATGGATGGCCATTAGACCCTTGAGAAAATATCCATTGGTGGTTGAGAAATACGCTACTCAAGCAAGCACTAGTTCCCCCAGCCGCTTGTTTTCGCAATGCACTCAGCATTGCCAAACCAGCTCCGCAGGTTTTAGTTCCGGACACGGCGTGGCACAGAAACACAATAAGATGCAGCTTGGCACTTGATTAACAACGTCATACTTCTTAAGAATTGACACCGAGGTCACGGTAACTTTACAACAGCAACACCGGACGGGCGTGAGTAAAGCCCTTTTCGGAAAGCCTCGTAATAGCGATGAAATAACTTAAAGTTATATCCTTAACCAATGTGCATTAGGTTTGTTTGTGTGTTTAGTTGATGTCCTTCCCCCCCCCCACCTCCGTTTATCACTGATGGCTACGGAAGGTGCAAAATAAGTTAAACATACATACAACAGTATTCTCTTTCACAGCAGTGAACTTTGTGGTTCATCAGTCTCACCTATCCTGCCTATAATTATCATTCCGATGTATGCAAACAATAGGTGTGGGCCAATTCACCCACGCCCCCCCCCCCCCCCCCACAAGCAGTTTGCCGATTCGATTAATAAATGAGCTATAGGACAGGAAATTAATCGATACATCGTTCCCACCCGGAATTTCGAGCGCAGTGCAAGGCCATATCATACTCCACCCTCCGCAGTGCCGACACATCGATCAAGTAGAGAAATCCAGCATCCTGCTAGAAAATGAACTGCGAAGTGGACGTGCGTTCACGTGCAGCCCTTTTGTCAACCCACCCGCTGGATGAAGGCTCTCTCCACACCATTCTGCTTCGTTGGGGTAGTTTAACCAAACTTGAACAGGCTCGTCAGTGCGGGCTCACGAAGGTGGACAGCACAAACGTGGCAGCATAGAGGCACAAGGCGATCGTTGATTTTGCCGCACTGCCCCTCTGCTGCCCACCACGTAGCACAGCCCCATGAAATCCTGGCGTGCGTGGCAGTCACCCATCCAAGCGCTGCCCAGGCTCAACGCCTGCTTAGCTTGTGAGATTTTGGTGGGATTGGGCGCATTTCCGGTGATTTTGTCACGGGGCGAATAGGCCGTGAGCCAAGCAGGTTTGGTCGGTGCCACCCGGGGTGGCAAATGCTACTGGAATCCACCATCAGCAGAGGGCTTAGCATATATACTGTGTGATTTAGAGATATACTTGAGATTTACTTGCATATTCTAATTCTATAGATGCTACACATCGCATTAGTTTTATATATAGATAAAATCTCTCTCTTCTAAACTCCGGTATCCTTGTTTATATATATATAAAGCTACCACTGAGATGTTGCTATCATAGAAATCTGTAATCTAGAAATAGAATTCTTCAAGAAAATCACCGATAGCGATTGCCAACACCCATGGTACCAATAACACATTTTCGCGCCAATGGACTAAGGAACAAGAGAAATCAGCATGGGCTCACCGTAGCTTCTGCAGTGTCTGTTCCTGGTAGCTCTGGTTCGTCACGTAGGGGATGTAAACGTGGAAGTTTTTCTTCGTGTGCTCGCTCACAATGTCGCAGATGTCCGGCACGAGTATGTTTTCTGCCACTCGCGTTTCCAGATCCTGCAGAAACCTGGAGTGATGCATGCAAAGGTCGCATAGAGATCACCACCTGGTCTGCACTGATCCTCACAGAAGTGCTTTGGGGTGAGAGCGAGCACGTGTTTCGTGAGCTCAAACCGAGCTCGCGTGCCAGCTCGGTTTGCCTTCAAGGTATGTACGTATGTCTGTAGAACTTCTTTCGCGCCGTACGTAGCCAACCATGCTAATTGAAGGTGCGGGAAAAGGACAACAAACTAAACAAAAAAATCAGTTCAAAATAAATGAGTTTTCAATCTTGACCATTTAAATGTGCATAGCTCCAGTGGCTTCTTATTGGCCCTGCTTACGATGCAAGGCGAGGGATGGGTGCAAATGGAGGGGTTGCTGCTCACCCTTCTGGCATTAGCCGCGCTGACGATGCTAGGGGGAGGGATAGGTGCTGACGCGAGGCTGCCGCTCACCTCACGCTGGCCGTGGTCACGTCCGCCAGGTTGGAGAAGAGTGCGTGCTTGTCTGCCTGACTCGTGACTTTCTGCAGCTCGCACGAGTCCTGAAAGTGGTGCAGGGCAACCTCCAGGCTCCGCAGGTACGATGCCTCCGACGTCACGAGTTCATACATTGCCTGAACGCACACGGAATCGGAATCTGAAGTTTATTTCCCACCGAGTAAAAAGCCCATTGAGCTAAGAAGCTGCATTTCAAGAGTGACTCAGCGGGCAGACAACGTCAAAGCATTCCACAATTACAGATAAAAACAAACAAACCTAAAAATGGCAATTATGCGGCAAAGAATTACACTCGCACTTAAACAGCACAGAGAAAGCACCATCACGCACGGAAACCATGCAAAACCTGGGAATATCACCGAGATACTGGGCTTGAACGCAGGTTTCTATCATCTGTGATGAACTGTGTTCTTTAGCGTAGCGAGTTGATGATCTCAGCCCTATCGCATAAAAAAAGTTTACGCTGCATGTAATTTTGCTAATTTCCAGCTCCGAGAGTCAAAACTATTGGTTTGACCGTCATCCGACGAGCACTGCTTACTGCAGCAACCATTGGGGAAGCGCTGCCTCCAACTGTGAGGTCCAGTAGCCACTTGAAGAAAGGATCTGAGGAGTAGTTGAGAGATACCTCCTTCCGCATTGCCTTTCTCTAACACAGCTGTTGCGAGACATCCGAATGCATCCAACCCGGCTCGCGAGACAACACCCAAACCCACCCACAACACGGACCTCCTGCCTGCTGCACTCCGCCTGCGAGATGGTTGCGAGCACCCCGCTGCTCTGGACTTCCGGCAACTCCTGCCACAGCGAGAAGAACGAGCTGTAGGTGCGTGCGAGGTCGGGCGACGGCTCTTCCGAATGACCCGAGGGAGCCTCCGTGTGCGATCGATCGGGCGTCCAGCTGACGGCAACCTTGCCGCTACTTTCCTCTTCGCCGCCGCCGCTGATGTCTCCTTGTCCACTGCTCGGTGTCTCCCCCTCCACGGCCACGGAGATTCGGATTTGCTTCATGCAGTCCCTCCTCTGAGCTATCATGTTGTACTCCTGGTAGAGTTTCACCGCTGCAAGGACAGACGTGACGAGCGAGCAGTCGACCGCATTACATCGCCTCGGATGTGTCCGAAACGGTAATTAGTTCCACGAAACTGGTCATTAAGCAAGTATAGGATATACATGTTCATGGATTAATTTGTTCCGATAGCATCAAAAGTTAAGCTTTAAACCCCCAAAAGCGTACTTTATAATATTTAAACAATGGATATCAACATATAGAGATACTAACAACATTATTAACACGTAATATTAAAATAAAAGAGTTTATAAATGCATTCATTCATATTTACTGTACATACAATAGCCCGTCGTTAACAGGGGAATGGTCGGGAAGTGAACACATTGGGTTCTCTGGAGGCACTACACTACTACACACTACACTATATACTACACTACTATACACTACACTACTATACACTACACTACTACACACTACACTACTATACCCTACACTATACACTACACTACTATACCCTACACTACTATACCGTACACTACTACACACTACACTACTATACCCTACACTATACAATACACTACTATACACTACACTACTACACACTGCACTATATACTACACTACTATACACTACACTATATACTACACTACTATACACTACACTACTATACACTACACTACTATACACTACTATACACTACTACACTACTATACACTACACTACTACACACTACACTACTATACCCTACACTATACACTACACTACTATACACTACACTACTACACACTACACTACTATACCCTACACTACACTACTATACACTACACTACTACACACTACACTACTATATCCTACACTATACACTACACTACTATACACTACTACACTACTATACACTACTACACTACTATACCCTACACTACTATACCCTACACTACTACACACTACACTACTATACACTACACTACTATACACTACACTACTATACCCTACACTACTACACACTACACTACTATACCCTACACTATACACTACACTATACACTACACTACTATACACTACACTACTATACACTACACTACTATACCCTATTATACAATACACTACACTACTATACACTACACTACTACACTACTATACCCTACACTACACTACTACACTACTATACCCTACACTATACACTACACTACTATACCCTACACTACTATACACTACACTACTACACACTACACTACTATACCCTACACTACTATACACTACATTACTATCCACTACACTATTATACACTACACTACATACTACACTATATACACACTACACTACATACTACACTATATTACTACACTACTATACACTACACTACATACTACACTATACACTACACTACTATACCCTACACTATACACTACACTACTATACCCTACACACTACACTTCTACACACTACACTACTATACCCTACACTACTACACACTACACTACACACTACACTACTACACATTGAGTTATATGGAGGCACTACACTATACACTACATTACTATACACTACACTACTATACACTACACTATACACTGGGTTCTATGGAGGCACTACACTATACACTACACTACTATATATTACACTATACACTAGGTTCTATGGAGGCACTACACTATACACTACACTACTATATATTACACTATACACTACACTATACACTACACTATACACTACACTAAACACTACACTATACACTACACTATACACTACACACTATACACTACACGACTATACACTACACTATACACTACACATTGGGTTCTCTGGAGCCCCGTCGTTAAGAGATTCATCGTTAACAGGGGTGCTCATTAAGAGGGGTTCTACTATACACTACATTACACACTACACTACTATACACCACATTATACACTACACTACATTATACACTACACACTACACTATACACTACACACTGGGTTTTATGGAGGCACTACACTATACACTACACTATACACTACACATTGGGCTCTATGGAGGCCCATCGTGAAGCGATTAGTCGTTAACAGGGGTGCTCGTTAAGAGGGGTTCTGCTGGACAGATGTTGCCTCGGTAAAACACTTACGATGCGCCACCTGGCTGTACATGGACACCCTTCGGTCACGTTGTATGAAGCTGTGCACGTCTTCTGAATGTCTGAAAAGAAAGCGTACAATAAGCACAAGGCTGTATGAGTATGCGAATTAAAATATGTAACGTCAATATATTATTGGCTATGACAAAAATCGCCCAACTTCTTAGGAATGACATCACAAGCTCTTTAATAACAGGCTTGAAGAAGAGGACACTGTTGGTTAAATCCAAAGTGAAAATTAAACGTCGGGCTCTGTGTGAGCTAACTTGAGTGGCAAATGAAGAGACATCAAAACGACCATTCTGCCAGGGCCACCCAAAGTTTTCCTGCAGGCCCCAGAGCTGGAGGCTCAGGGAAAGAATGCCACGTGGGACCCCCCCCCCCCCCCTTATTCTAAAACTATATATTTTAAAAGTTTTTATTTTACCAGGTAAAGCCCACTGATCTATATGTAGCTCTTATTTCAAAAGCGATCTGGCTATCACAAATGACAGCTCAACAACGAAGTGGCTTATCATCATCACCACGTGGAAATTTATAGCAGCCAAATACTCAAAAATGCATGTTGACTCTAAATGTGGAGGGGGAACAAACCAGAGGAGCCTGAGACAAATCCATGCTTACTATGGGGAGAATGAACATGCAAACTCCAAATATACAGGAATCAGGGTCGGATTGGACCCACGACTCTCATGTATGCCAGGCGAGGTAGTTAACATCTCACCACTGCAATAACTAAAACAGCCCCGTTGTGGAGGCCCGGGGCATATTGCCTATTTTAGCCACTCTTTTTGGGCGGCCTTGCATTCCGCCATTGGTTTGTAATCATCTCCAGCAGCATGCTCGGGTTATGCGGCCAAGCGAACGTACTCGGTGCTGTCCGTGTTGCTTGATGCCTTGGGGAGCTGTTTCAGGAGAGGGTCGGTGGCTTCCGTGCTCGAGATTTCTGAAGGGTCTGACAATGACACCTTTTCATCTGACACTACAAATCAAACAGCAGGCAATGCAGATGCACAGGGAAACACGGCCATTAGTATAGGTATCACAGTGCGGCCATCAATACCGATCTTTAAACTCACAATACACATTAAGTTGCGCCCGTGAGAACGTATTAGTTTGTTTGTGTGAACGTTGTATGTGTCTGTAATGTCCGAAACAGTCTTGGGCCGCTACCCTTCACCACCCTGCACTGACCGGAGTGGTGGAGTATGATTTTTTTTTTTAGAAACGCCAAGACTTAACGGCATGGGAAATTTAATAAAGGAATGTAAATTACTGCACCGTTGTTTTTCATATTTGAGATATGACATCAGGAAAAAGTGTCCACTCTTCCGAATAACGTAAACGCTTTTAAGACTGGCTTTACAGCAGAGGGCACATTTTTGTGATTCCATAGAGAAATTCGTCCGTGTCTTCATAGCAGAAAAAAACCTATCGACCTCTTCTCAAACTGATCTCGTGGCAGGCGGGGGCTGACTGACAAGGCTGCCCAGCACAGAGAGATGGCCCTGTTGCTCAGAGATCGGAGCACTGAGCCGACACCACTGACGACCTGGGTTCAAATCCAGGACTGCGATGAAACTGGATTTCACAAATAAGCGAGTTGGTGGTCTTATCCTGACCACCAACGACTGCACTAAAAAAAACAAATCACAATAACTGTGTTGCTGCACTTCATTTGGTTCAGAATGTTTAAATAATGGTCTGACCGTCATGCGACAAACATTATTCTCACATGCAATGTGTGTGCGCGGGGGAAAGTGCTGCCCTCTACTATGTGGACCGAACGTCACTTAAATGGATCTCAGTGGTAGCTCTGTGATATCCACTTCGACGGGAAATTCTCTAACATGAAGGCTTGCACTGCTCTGCAAGATATCCAAATGGATCCTTCATTTCATGACGTGATGTCGGGAAAAATTTAAAAACACAAATGCTGCATGGGACGGGTGACGCACCTAATATGCAGCTGAAGACAACAAAGCAATTGGCAGAGAATAAACTGCATGCCCACCTTCCTTGCTGGGCACAGTGTGCCTGCGGCGCATAGCTAACTTGCGCCTGGGGCCACCCTTCAGATCTGCCTCCGATTTGCCCAAATCCACATCCTCACAGGCCTCCGGATGTGCCATTATTATTGTCATAGCTCTCTCACCCCTCCTGCGAGTCCGGACTCTCTCGTACATATCCAAAGGCCCCGACATGCAGGGAGACGTGGACGAGCCATCGGGCACATCCAGAGCATCCTTCATTCCGGACAAATTGAAGCCGTCGACGTCTGACATGTGCACAGTTTCGATATCGCTCTCCACCGGGTCCCCATTGAGGGTCAAGAGTTCGCCGTCCGGTGAGCGGCCATACTCCTCGCCGTAGTATTCCGACGCCAGGCACAGCTTCAGGTCGTCGTCGTCCTCCTCGGACACGTTGTTGGGCTGGTGGTACTTGGAAGGGTGTTGCCGAGGGCGCCTTGCACGCTCCATCGATTGCTGCACGGTGTCAACCTCCATTTGCTCGACTTTGTGTGTTGCCGATGGTTTGCTGGGGAGGGGTGGGGGACAAGCGAGGGCTACGCAGAGTCGTTTCGCTCCATCTCCACGCTGCACGGTCACCACTCTCCGGCCCTTCACCTCCTCAAATTCTAATTCAGCGGTGGAGTTTCACTTCAACAAGGTGTTGCCAATTCCATTTTGCTACATCGATGAAGATGTCTGATGCGCCTTTGTCATTGTTGTCATTTCCCGAATCAATATTGGTATCCGACGCTTGCTCTCGTGCAAGATTCACTGGACCTAAAGAAAGAGCAAACGATTAAAGCACCATCATCAGTATAAGTTGTACATATTTACATTTCAGACTGAGTTCTGACATGTTTACCCCACAGTCAGCAGTACTTTATTACTTTTAGAGTAGCAATTTACAGTGTTAAACATTTCTTCATTTAACCAGGTGAGAGTTCATTCAAATGAATTTTCTCTTTGTGAAATTCAGGCTTAAATTTTGATTTCAAGCTTTCGTGACTGCAGTAATTCATATTCTTAGTTCTTTCGGGTAAAGTCACGTTGAAGGGAAACAATAATTTTTTATTGTTTTATATATATTTTATTATTTTATTGTTTCCCTTCAACGTGACTTTACCGAAAGAACTAAGAATATAAATTCAAGCTTGTTTAAACCGGTTTAAGTGGAGAAGTAATTTTAGGTACAATACAGCATGCAATTACGATTTTCATGTAAAAAGCTTTCAGGAATGTGAACGCATCTCAAGATATCAATAAGTATTTGTACAGCATGCAAATTCTGGAATCATGATTGCATCAGTACAGTCAGACCTGTTGTTTATATTTCAGACTGATTCTTCCAAGGTGCCGTTAGGTGTGAGGCCTGTTGGTTATACTGTATTTGTATTATTGTAATAAAAAAACGAATCTATTTTTATTTTACCAGGTAAGGCCCACTGAGCCATAAAGCGCTTTTCAGAAGTGGCTTGGCCACAAATGATAGCTCAACGAAGTGGCTTATCATGTGGAAATGTGTAGCAGTAGTCAAATACTCTAAAAACCCTTATTATACAAGTCACGCCTGTTAGGCATATTTATCGTCATACATTAGCGTTGAATAATTTGAAACTTTTAAAATGACATGTACAGTCATTTTGTATGACCTTTCTCACTCGTTTTTTTATTTTACGCAACACAAACCAAGGATGTACAGTGAGGGAAAAAAAGTATTTGATCCCCTGCTGATTTTATACGTTTGCCCACTGATAAAGAAATTATCAGTCTATAATTTTAATGGTAGGTTTATTTGAACAGTGAGAGACGGAATAACAACAAAAACATCCGGAAAAACGCATGTCAAAAATGTTATAAATTGATTTGCATTTTAATGAGGGAAATAAGTATTTGACCCCCTCTCAATCAGAAAGATTTCTGGCTCCCAGGTATCTTTTATACAGGTAACGAGCTGAGATTAGGAGCACACTCTTAAAGGGAGTGCTCCTAATCTCAGCTTGTTACCTGTATAAAAGACACCTGTCCACAGAAGCAATCAATCAATCAGATTCCAAACTCTCCACCATGGCCAAGACCAAAGAGCTCTCCAAGGATGTCAGGGACAAGATTGTAGACCTACACAAGGCTGGAATGGGCTACAAGACCATTGCCAAGCAGCTTGGTGAGAAGGTGACAACAGTTGGTGTGATTATTCGCAAATGGAAGAAACACAAAAGAACTGTCAATCTCCCTCGGCCTGGGGTTCCATGCAAGATCTCACGTCATGGAGTTTCAATGATCATAAGAACGGTGAGGAATCAGCCCAGAACTACACGGGAGGATCTTGTCAATGATCTCAAGGCAGCTGGGACCATAGTCACCAAGAAAACAATTGGTAACACACTACGCCGGGAAGGACTGAAATCCTGCAGCGCCCGCAAGGTCCCCCTGCTCAAGAAAGCACATATACATGCCCGTCTGAAGTTTGCCAATGAACATCTGAATGATTCAGAGGACAACTGGGTGAAAGTGTTGTGGTCAGATGAGACCACAATGGAGCTCTTTGGCATCAACTCAACTCGCCGTGTTTGGAAGAGGAGGAATGCTGCCTATGACCCTAAGAACACCATCCCCACCGTCAAACATGGAGGTGGAAACATGCTTTGGGGGTGTTTTTTCTGCTAAGGGGACAGGACAACTTCACCACATCAAAGGGACGATGGACGGGGCCATGTACCGTTAAATCTTGGGTGAGAACCTCCTTCCCTCAGCCAGGGCATTGAAAATGGGTCGTGGATGGGTATTCCAGCATGACAATGACCCAAAACACACGGCCAAGGCAACAAAGGAGTGGCTCAAGAAGAAGCACATTAAGGTCCTGGAGTGGCCTAGCCAGTCTCTAGACCTTAATCCCATAGAAAATCTGTGGAGGGAGCTGAAGGTTCGAGTTGCCAAACGTCAGCCTCGAAACCTTAATGACTTGGAGAAGATCTGCAAAGAGGAGTGGGACAAAATCCCTCCTGAGATCTGTGCAAACCTGGTGGCCAACTACAAGAAACGTCTGACCTCTGATTGCCAACAAGGGTTTTACCATCAAGTACTAAGTCATGTTTTGCAGAGGGGTCAAATACTTATTTCCCTCATTAAAATGCAAATCAATTTATAACATTTTGACATGCGTTTTTCCGGATGTTTTTGTTGTTATTCTGTCTCTCACTGTTCAAATAAACCTACCATTAAAATTATAGACTAATCATTTCTTTGTCAGTGGGAAAACGTACAAAATCAGCAGGGGATCAAATACTTTTTTCCCCTCACTGTATGTTTGCTGAACTTATTTCGCACGGTCCATAGCCGACTGTGCTAATCGGAGGTACGGGGGAAGGACAACAAAATTATGATTGCTGCCACAGTGCTGTAATGGTGAACACACTGGGACTTGCAATCCAGAGGTCGTCTGTTCGATTCGATCTCATGGCGTGGCAGTTGAAGCAATGGGGCAAGCTTCTTAAATCCCCCCTCCTCACCATCGAACCTCTCTGTCCACCCAGCAGAATAATCAACGGGTACAGCACAGTCAGGTTAATTGGCAGTTCACGTGTGGTGGGGTAAAGTGTGGGTAGCACCCACCACCTCTAACACCGACCTACTTCCAACACGAACTGGTCAGAATGGACGAGTACACCAAATACTGTTCTACCTAGGGCTCCTTCTTGTGGGAGACTTCCACCAGCAGTGATGCGAGCAAGTACAGCATACGTAAAGGCTGCCTCCTTCACCGTTATATACTAAGGCAGTGTTCTTCATTGCAAGGCCCGCGGGTCACTGGCGGCCCTTGGTGGCCTTTAGTGCGGCCCCTGACAATACACACCACGTGACAACACCCCTTGTAAGTGGCCTATGGCGGCCCTCACACTGATGTCTTGTCGGCAAAAGTGACCCCCGCCCCCCCCCCGTACTAGGGCAAGATGTCCCCCAATGTTACCACATCTGTAACTAGCCACTGGACTTATAGGCCTTTATAGTATGTGTGCACTGTGATAAGACATTTACAATGTGGCGGAGGAGTGGTGGTGCAGTGGATTAGTGCACTGCACTCTGAACCCAGTGACTGGAGTTCGATTTCTGGCAAAGTCAAGCATTTAATTGTATGTACGCATGTTTAACTTTTTTCGCATTGTACATATCCAACCGTGCTGCTAATCGGAGGTGCGGGGGAAGGACAACAAACTAACACAGAGTTGATTTCCTTCTTCTTCCCCAGTGAAGATTGTGGACTAAGTGCAACAGACTCTAAATGCAAATTTAGTGTCAATGAAATTATTCATCACTATACACGAACGTGTCCAGGTTTCCTATTCAGGAACCCGCTCGCTGACCAGCGAGGTGAAGTACTACTCTTGTACCTTCAAGACAACACCCGTGAACAAAAGAGTGTGGAAGGATGTATATACCCAGAAGTGGACGGACAAAAGGTTGTTAATTCTCACAAATAATTTATTTAAAATGCAGTAACACCTGAACACCTACATTTCTCTTTGTTTTTTTTGTAGGACATTCGGACACGTTATTTACGTACCAACAGAAACAAAAAAACATTTTTGTTTTTAAATAACATTCAGGAACTTAAGATTATAACCAAACCACCTGGCATTTGCCCAATCTTGTCAAGGTCTTTCCGTCTATTCTCCTGCATGTATTCCTCCTCACCTTTACTGACCCACACCGACTGGCATGGCCAAGTCGGGTCAAATGACCCGCAGGGCACAGCAGAGGGCGGAGGGGAGGGGGAGGCAGGGAGGAAGAGGGAGGAGGGGAGGCATCATCCAGCAGCGGATTAACACAAGTGGCTGTACGTGTACACACGCACACGTACAAGCAAATGAAGCAAATGAAGCAGAAACAAATCTCCACGTGAAAAATGTGCCACGGGGAGTCCCTTCTATGCTCATAAATATCTTAAGAATCTTAACTTCTGGGTCATGGGTGCAGGAGGGTGGGAGGGAGGGAGGGTGCAGGAGGGTGGGAGGGTGGGTGGGAGGGAGGGTGGGGCAAGAGGGTGGGAGGGAGGGTGGGAGGGGGGGCAGGAGGGTGGGAGGGAGGGTGCAGGAGGGTGGGAGGGAGGGTGGGAGGGAGGGTGCAGGAGGGAGGGAGGGTGGGAGGGAGGGTGCAGGAGAGTGGGAGGGAGGGGGGGAGGGAGGGTGGGAGGGAGGGTGCAGGAGGGAGGGAGGGTGTAGGAGGGTGGGAGGGTGGGAGGGAGGGGGGGGAGGGAGGGTGCAGGAGGGTGGGAGGGAGGGTGCAGGAGGGTGGGAGGGAGGGTGCAGGAGGGTGCAGGAGGGTGCAGGAGGGAGGGTGCAGGAGGGAGGGAGGGTGGGTGCAGGAGGGGGGGAGGGAGGGTGCAGGAGGCAGGGAGGGTGGGAGGGAGGGTGCAGGAGGGTGGGAGGGAGGGTGCAGGAGGGAGGGTGCAGGAGGGAGGGAGGGTGGGTGCAGGAGGGGGGGAGGGAGGGTGCAGGAGGCAGGGAGGGTGGGAGGGAGGGTGCAGGAGGGAGGGTGCAGGAGGGTGGGTCCTCTTGGCACTTTGTTCACACTCATCGCACCTGGCGGCGGCGGGAAATGGGTGTCGGCCGCCTGGGCGAGAAAATATTTACCTGGCTAAATATTTGCCTTCCTGAAACATGTATTTCATGTCTTGTACGATTACTGCGGAGCATTCAGACATCTTAATGGTCACAGTTAATGTTCCACTGAGCCACTTTAAACAAAGTTGAGTACCGTCCGCCGTGCAGTCAACATTGAGA